GCGTCTGTCCGGGACCCGAGCTGCCTATGATGTTTTTCGCTTTTATGTTTGCTTTTATGTTTCCTTTGTTTTGCAGCTCGGAGCCGGGCAGAAGTGCGCATCTCTCTCCTGTTTTTTGATATTATTTACTCTATTCTTGGATTTCTTGCGCTGCTGAGCAGGCTTTGATTAATGGATCTTGGTATCCTTGCGTGATTACTTTTAGACATGGAATTCAATATGATCATGATTTTCTCCAATTCATCTGAGCTTATCACCTGTGAGCGTAATTGAGCCCTACGTGCCATCTTCCATCAACTGCAGGCTGACCGAAGAATGACATCACAACTAACTTTATCCCCGGACATTAAGCCGGGGAAGCAATCCACGTCATGTGAACGAATAAGGCGATAACTCCTTGAGTTCCCTGTAATAACTTACCTTCACGCTATACAAACCTAACTCTTGCAGTGTATTAAGCCAACAATCAAAGTAACACCAATAGCGGGAAGGCAGTATGGAACCTCTCTTGATATTAATATGACAAAGCTGATTCATTTCCACAGGGCAATATGTCTAACACAGGCGGTAAGTAGCTATGGATTTCCGTCATACGGAACCCAACTTATACATACCAGAAGCCTCCGAACCTTTCACCACAAAAACAAATACTACAGATAGGGTATTCGGTCGCGTCCATGAATCTGCGAGTCATGCACGCGAGCAGATAGCCGAACAGCTCCAACCCGGTGCGTATTTCCGACTATGATAGTGCGTTACCTTTACAGGATGAATGATGTTTGATATGGTGTGAAACACCATGTTATTTCTTATCTATTGTTTCTCGTCTATTGTTTCTTGGGTACAAGCTAAATATTCAAATGATTGCGCTGCAGGGGATACGAAGGCAACTTCTCGTCGCTTGTCCGATACAGCCAATAATATCTGGGAATTTGGGCAGGGTGGTCCGAGAGAAGAACGGGACTATGGGTTGGAGAGGGATAGGCCTCTGTTGCAATCGGCGCAGGAGACGGTTTCTAAGGCGCTAGGGGGTGGGTCTCGTGGTTAGTTTGCGATATGGTGGTTTCGTTCTTTGGTGCTAATGTGATGATTCAGGTGCGGAATAAATGGATTTCTCTGGGAAGTTGGTTGGAAAGGGTTGTTATATAGAATGGAATTGAGATGTTTATATATCCATTAGGTGTTTTGATTATGTCGTTCTTTTTCTTTTTTGGTTTCTGGTGAATATATGCCGAATATATATTGAGTGGATCCGCATCGAGTTGGATATGTATACTCGGAAATATCGACCTTGTTTGTATCAAGGTTATATCGAATTTTGTTTTCATACAGACATAATATAGCTAGCTTAGTCAATGAGACAAAATACTGTAGCATCATTGCAAACACCTTAAGTTTGTACGGAAAAGAAATATTTATCACAATATACTTCCCGTTTAGGAAATTAACCACCTCAGGCATCAACTGATAAATCACGTGTGATAATCAGAGCAAAAAAAGAATCATTGGCAACCATCCATCTTCAACAATCAATTGACTTTGCAGCCATGGGTTCCAGTTCTAAAAGGAAGAAGGATAAGCAAAAGGATTTCCAGGTTAGAACCGCAAACATTTGTTTCTTTTGTTCGACCCGCTAACCCTTTGAAGAAACCTAAACTTAGGGTTGGAAAAACCAAAGCGAAGCCCGACAACTACACTGATACGAGTTTCAAATCAAAGTGTATGTGCATCTTTTTGGCTGCTTGACATATTATTATGCTCACAATTACCAGCAATCGTCCTAACACAACAATCCCTCCACCTTAATGCACCGACTTCAAATGCCACATTTACGCATAACTTATCTCTCCTCAATGTCAAGTCCGACACCCAACGACGCGACTCGCTCGCTTACCTGACTACCACAATATCCTCTCGACCAGTAAATTCACCTTTGCCACAACCAGTCAGCGTCATTCTACCATCTCTGCTCCCACTCATCCTCGATGGAAGCAACAGCGTACGGACCCAGCTGCTTAAGCTCTTGCGGGCCCTGCCGCCCGGCGATATCGAGGACCATGTGGCACAACTCCTTCCCTACGTCCGCGCAGGAATGACCCATCTTGGAGCGGATATCCGCAGTTCTGCTGTGGAGATTCTATCATGGATGGTCGAGGTAGCGGGCGAAGCAACAGTTTCGTGCGCAGGAGGATGGATCAAAACGCTCAACTGCTTCTTGTCTGTGTTGAGCTGGCACACCGAAGAGTCATCACAGTGGTCCTCGACCCGGGCTTCATTTGGGAAGGCCGGCAGCCAGGGCAAGCCCATGGTCAAAACGCTTGGGGCTCTGGCGATGTTTTTGGATGCGGGAATCGGAAAACCTTATATCGGCGGTGTCGACAGCGAGATGTCCGGTGAAGATGAGAGTACCGACTGGCCATTCCCTCTTTCTCAGACCGCCCAGCACATGATCTCAGACTCATCTACGCCATTCGCATATCTGAATTTGTTTGGAAAGCCGCGCGACGAGGAAGGAGAGATGTACGAAACCCGTGAAGACAGGTACCGCGTGTTCTCGACTCGTTTCCAGGCACCAATCGAGCGTGGACTCAAGGGTGCCAGAGAGGAAGGTGGTGAGCTGGGCCGTGCATCATCCGGGGTCAGCAAGGTGTTAAAAGAAGCAATTGCGTATGGACCGGGCCCATGAGTTGTTCAGCCAAGGTTTATGAGCAAACCCAAATCCATCCAATAGAATGGTACCGTGACCTAGGATATGGCCTAGAGCTTCTATGCGGACTTTACGTATACAGCCACCAGCGGACCACGCATCCCATTCAAGCCAGCTCGGACATCAATACGGAGTACGGCGTCTGCATTTACACAGACGATCTCACCCTGCGAGCACTGCAACCAGCGCGCCGAATAGACTCGGCATGGCCTTCAGAGTGGTGGACTTTGTGCCCTTGCAGGGCTTGCAGCAGCAAGATATATACAATACCAAGGCTTTGAGCCAAAGCCTTAAGCTGGAACTTTATATAAGCTTTCGTGGAACATCGATTTTCATTCATCCCCATAGAGCCAGAAGATCAGCAAAGAAGAACAGCAAAATAACGTTGTGGAATTTTTTTATTTAGAAATTGACTTTTTAGGTGTTCTGGGGTTGGGCAATTATTGCAATTATTATCAGTTCTATGTATGCTTCTACGGGTGATCCGAGGGAGGATATTGGAACAGAGAACTGGATTTTCTATTGCTTCGCAAACTCTCAAATATCAAATGTCTGCGTATTATTAAACATTAAATTGTCAGGTGTACATGTATGGCGTATCGTGATCGACTTCGGCTCAAAGGCTAAAAGTACATAGGCCTTGAGTGAAATGCTACAGAGAGAGTATATGTGGTTGACTTGTCTCTTCACATCTAGTTTCCTGGTCTTGAAAGTGGGTATCTTTGCATACAAAGAGGGGAAATGAGTCTGTGATTGTTTCGATTTTATTTTGAGGGAAATGGAGGACGAAGCTAAATATTGCAGATGTGAAGAAGAGCGTTATTTCGGAGATTAATGCAGGAAAATTGTAAACTGTGCTACGTACTTCCTATTTAGGTAATAAGTTGGATATCAAGGCAAGGGGAGAATAATGAGAATTTACATATGTAGGTAGTATGTATTCGTACGAAGTAGGTTATCAGTCGTATTTTCTTGAAAATATACAGATAGTTGATCATACATCTTTCTCTTTATATTATGCCGATATAGATTGACGTTACTCTGTACGGAGTACTCCGTAGTGAGGTAAATTCTAGGGCTAAATGGTTATGCCCTATGTGTGACTGGTATGGGGTGCATATCGACATACATTGACATGTCCGTCAATTTATTTATGTCATCATATTGACTTTATTTTCAATAGTTCAAGGTTTTGACTGTGAGCTATCACCCTCTCATCTCTCGATCTGTACTTTTTTCCCCTTCCCATCTGTCCTTACCCGGATTCCTCAAAACTTGGATCTGTATAGCTCCGATCTAAACTCTTGCTTTAATCGGAAAGATCACGCCAATTCATCTGTTTGACATGAACAGGTTTGTTAGTTCTGCCGGATTTGATAGCTCACATCCAGTGCGGAGTACAAGAGTACAGGGCGCAGCCTGACGTTATTCTCCTCGCCAGGACTCCCCCCCTTACATTAATGTCTAAGGGGAGAAAAAAAAAACGCCAATTGGGTGATAACAGTTCAATTGACGATTGGACTGCCAGAATTGTCCCTACTACAATAGGCACAATGCACAAAAGGACCGAGTCCTAAACGGCAACATGCAGGTGCATTGGTGGCACTGGGTTTGCCTTTATTGATGTATCATATTTCTTTCCCGCCAAACTATACATCGCGAGTGCCACATCTCTTGTGCGATGAAAGGTTATCCACAGGACCTTGCTTGGATGAACCTGTTTTCATTACAGGACCTATTCGTCGGATTTGTGCTACCATTTTAGCCTCAACCTATCTGTGCCTTTCCAGGTTCCCGAGGGTCCCCGGTCTACTCCTGCGTTTGAGGATCCCCAAGTAAGGATGCGATAGCTCACTTAGAATACTATTAAACTCCCTTCTCCCCGGCCTTGCACTGTCAATTTCTGTTTCGATTTTCATCCAAAACGCCACACATCGCCAACCCTTGTCGACTTTGTACATATCGACGCCCCCTGTACATAGTGGTGTCAATTTACGTCGACATATCATATTTCTCATTCATATACAGGCCCCAATCGCGTTGGCCCTATTGAACAGGTGAGCATGTCACGCTTCCGAGATAATGACTCGGTTCGTCTCTCTAACTTGGAAAGTATAGCATCTATTGCTTTACCTGTGGACTTTTATGCCGACCCGGGCCGGATTGCAAAGCCAGCCATTAATTGGTGGTCCATCTCCCTATGAATCAGTGTGATTTATTATATGACTGTGCACCAAGCCCAATCGTTCGGACTTATCGACCTGATCCTCCTTCAAAACGCAAGCTCTCCAACATGACGACCACAAAGACTGCGCCTCCACCTAGGCCTCTAGTCACCCCCAGGTCTAGAGACGCCAGTACTCCACGACCTGAAGCGCGATCAGCAGGTACGGCCGAAAGAGCTGGTAGAAATGAAAGCCTAGTGGACATGGTTCGGTTCTTCCAGAGTCAGAATATTCCAGCCCAGACCCCGCCTCCATCTCAGCCTCCATCTCAGCCCCACTCTCGAGCTCCCTCTCAAACTCCCTCGAGTCCAACTGCACTCCCGGTTCCTATTTCGCCTGTACCATCGAGGGCAGAATCTAAGGCAGAATCGAAAGCGGAATCGAAGTCAGATGCAAAGCAGGATCCAAAGCCATTCCATCGTCGCCTGCTGCAATTTGCTCATCGCCAAAAGAAGGAACCATCCTCCTCCCGGTCGAAGCAAGAAGAGCAACAACGCCAAATTGAAGCACTAACAAGGGGAGGATTTATTATTCCGGATCGTTTACCAATTGAGTCGAAGGAACAAAAGGAAGCAAAGCGATCAAAAGAAAGCCTGTCACCATCTATCTCTCGAACTCTGTCCAAATCAAAGAAAGATGTGGAAACCATTGGACAGCCATGGCTGCAAGCCAAAGTTGATGCCAACAGGCGATCAACTGAGGCAAGACGTCGCTTGGCCTCTTTGGATCTTGATGACTTTGGCTCAATGGTCGACATCGCGGTTACATTCGCTTCCGATTTCGACGATTCTATGCCGCCACCGTATCAGCCAAATGAGCACGCCTCCTCCGAATCGTCATCAGGTAACTCGATGCTAAGTCCAAGGGCACGTCCCAGTCAAGACATCACCCGACCGACTTCCTCAATGGCTTCTACCAGTCATTCCTATAGGAAAGCCTCAATTGATGAGCAAATCAGACGGCCATCTACCTCCGTAGAGCAAAATACCCATGCCAGCCCTGTCCCAAGAGTTACCGTCAACGCATCCTTGAGTGTTAATGCGACAGAGTCATCTAGACTGTCTATTGATAGCCAGAAGCGAACTCCATCAGACCAATCTAGTCTTCGCAATGCGACACCATTGTCGCCCACCTTGAAACTTTTCCCCAACGTTGCACCTCCTCGCAAATCTAGCATGGGTGCACTTCGAAATTCATCAATTCCTCGGTACCAAATGATCGAAAATACCACAGCATCTCCCGCATCTCCGGCATCCAGCTCACGGACTCGATCTTCCGACAACGTATCTGATGTTCCAGATGAACCAAAGAAACCATCGGATGGTCCAATAGATGTTCCGATTAGCGAGGCAGAGCCACAGTGCTCAGATGCCCCTGTACCTTGTTCGACACCTCCTGTAGCGGCACCATCTGTGGAACAAGCCCCTAAGGATTCTACATCGCAAGATGAGACCAAATCTCGGCGGCGCTCGTTGTCTATGGGAACGCTGAAGGCATTCCCTCTCCCGGCGCCTACACGGCCTTTGCCCTCACTGCCCAGATCTAGAAAATCCTCGCCGAGTATTGCAGAGGCCAACGCTCGCTCTATTCGAGGGATTGGATCAAGGTCATCATCCTCTACTCTGCCTTCTCCTTCGCCAAAACTTGGCGAAGACCAGCGGACCGAATCCACTGTGGACATTTCTTGTGCTGTTGAGTCGCCCCCGGCATCCACTGTTGGCAGCGTCGCTGGCGGGTCAATGGCCGACGACGAAGAAAGCTTGTTTACGACTTCGCTCTCGGAACACTACCAGCCAACCCCGGAACATTGCACTCCGAGGGGCCGTTTTTCAAGCGTGGGCATCCCTCGAGCGCAAAAACTCCACAAAAGCCCTTCAAGCCAATTTGATGCAGAGGGTTCAGAGGGACAGCCTCTGGCCGACTCTCCTGTACTAGGACACACTATCCCTGAAGAGCCCAATGACAAACGTACTGTTCCAAAGGTGCTTCATATCAATTCCCAAGTCAATCGAAAGGATCTTCCATTTGGCCTGCCATCGCCTCCACCCACTGCATCACTCCCATCAGCTCCGCCTTCTCACCTCCCACCACCTCCTCCTGGGCGAAAGGTTACCCAACGCAAATATACTGCACCAGGGTCCTACCGAGGTTCGACCATATCCCGGAGTGACAGCTCAAGGAGCAGCCTTCGACATGAGAGTTTCCCCGAAACATACGAAGAAAGTCGCCTTGAATCTCGCTCTGAGTCTCCACTTCCATCATCAGACGAAGAGGTCTTTGGCCCAGGGGTAAACGCCAAACACTCGCACCGGGAGTCCGACAAATACCAGCGCATTCAGCCAGTGCGCCGAGGATATGAGACAATGGATCCACGGCTGGCATCCAACAGTCGACTTCGTTATCCTAGTGGTACGCGCCCTATCACACCCCAATGCCGCAGCATCCACAGTCTTGAGAGGACTACATCCCCTCAATCACAATACTCCCAATCAACACACAGATCAAGGGAGTCTCAAAGCAGTCAAAACACCCGCGGCCCTCCTCAAATGGATCACTACCTCGAGGACCGGGTCGCGAATCTGGAACGCCAGAACCAAATTCTACAAGCCGCTCTTATGGCAGCGCTCAATGCCGGAGTTAAGAATCCTCTCGAATCTCTCAACGTTGACCCGAACATGTCATCGGGCTTCTCACACACTCCCTTCTCCCGCCAATATTCTGGGCGTCATACGTCACGACCTGACAGCTGGGTCAGCTCTTCTCGCAGCAGTCAACACAGCGGTTTTGAGCCCTCTAGCTCTCACCGAGATACGCGGGCAAACGTCAAACAGCTGGACAACATGATCGAAGACATTGAGTCTGGTTGGCTGTCGGACAAGTCCAGTTTCACTGGAGCTCGAATTTCTCGCAAACGATAGATAACGATCCTTTTTTTTTTCTTATATCCTTTTTTACATCTTCATTGCTTCTGTCGGAACGATGTTACTTATTGGCTTGCGATGCTTTCTGTTTTCTTTTGTTTTCCATTTCTACATATCTAGGCCCTGTCTATCCTTGCTTATTTCTCTATGATACCATTCTGTCGTACCTTTGACACTTTTTTTTCATATATATATATTTTATTGAATGTTACGCTGTATATCCCTGCATGCAACAATAAATTGCATCTATACAATTCTGAGTCGCGATCATAGTGCACCGTTTGAAGCTCCCATATAATTGAAACTATTTGGCAGATCTTTGAAAACCGGGGTGGAGCTTTGAATTGAGCTTTTATCATTGTGCCAGTAAGTGAAGAGCGTAAAGATCTTTGCAGGAGGATTTCACCTATCCATAGTTAGATGTTTTTGTGCCCATCCCAATGCTTAGTCATTTGTTTTGGAGACGCCCAAGCAGTCAACTTCTTGAGCTCCATGTGCTTCAACCATTCTGGCTGAAGAGAAGTACATAGCGGAAACAGCAATTGCAAAGGCAAGAAGTCCTTATTGCTCGTCTAACCCCTAACCATAACCACCCACACCACATACCAACACTCTTCACATTCCCCGCGGAACCCCCCAATCATGGCGAACTCAGGACAAGTAAATATAACCTCTCCAAATATGCTCAACTATTCTAACAAACCCAGCGCACACAGCAAGTCCCTCAGCATGTCACCGCACTGCTCTCACATCTCACCTCCCGCCCAGGCGTGCAATCCACCTTGATCCTCTCCCGCAAAGATGGATCCATCATCCAAAGCACAGGACAACTAGCACAGACTGAAGAAAACGCCTCTCGCACCGCACATAATACCCCATCTACAACCGATCAAAACTCTCTCGCCCAATCCACAGACCCATCCCCTACCCAACCCGCCGTGTCACAGCCCTACCAACCCTCGCAAGCCGAAACACTAGCTGCCCACATTTTCGCATATGTCTCTAGTGCCGAGGCGCTCGGTGTCTCGCTATCACGACCAACCCTCACTGTGCAGCGACCCAGCGACGCTCATTGGGATGTTAACTACGACTACGGGAACGAGGGCCGGGAGGAAGACCGGGATGATGGTGAGGATCGGGATGAGGATGGGGAAGTGAAGCTGCTTCGAATGCGCACGAAGAAACATGAGATCGTGGTTGTGCCAGATCGAAAGTACTTGCTATGTGTGGTACATGATGCTTCGCCAGGTGGAGGGCCTGCGGCGGCGTCGCGCTCCCGGTAGTGGAATTATTGTTCTTGGGAATACAGCTATGTGGTGCTTTTGGGGTTTGTGTTTTGCGGGTTGTTTTGTTGGGTTTGGATTTCATACATATACCCGATGGAAGCAAAATCTTCGCGTTTAATTCATGTTTTCCATGTCACGGCTACGCGTAGGGCTGTTGTATATAGTTTCTTTAGGAGAGGGTGTCTATCTAGACAGTTCTAGCGAAATGCTGGTTTCTATATATGGAGGGATGATACTGCAGACTATGTGGTTGTTTCTGCCGTTGAGTGAAAGCGACTTACTCCTTCTGTTCATATATCCGTCGATCGCAAGCTCTATGATGTAGAGTTGGCATGTCTGATAGCTTGGATCATCGAGACAAAATACAACTAAAGTACAACGTACATATTTAATTTGAGACCGGAGCAAATCCGTAATAGCTCCACTGTTTACCCCTCTCAGCCGGGCTGACAATCAGGTTGGCATACATCTTTCGTATTTCGAGCGTAATAGTACATCTATCATCTAGTCATATCAAGCGAATCTGATAATATTCAATATGGCCTCTACTCTCGATGTTTCCGCAGCCCGCTCTCGCTTCCCTGCACTGCAGCAGGAGCAGGTGTATATGGACAACGCTGGTGAGATGGACCTCCATCTTCATAGCCCCATTAAACTTGAGATCTGATCTAATTGTTAAACTACAGGTGGAAGTCAAGTTCTCGATACCGTGGCCGACTCGTTAGTCTAATCGCATTGAATATCGATGTATACTGACGCAGCTATAGCATCCGTTCTTACTTGCTGAACACGAATGTCCAGCTCGGAGCTAGCTATAAAGTCTCTCAGATTTCGACTAATGCGTACGATAATGCATACAAGGTGGCTGCTGGATTCATCAATGCTGCGCCTGAGGAGGTATCTGCACTTTAATCCATGGCACTTCCCAAGAAGTATAAACATTGCCAAACGTCGGGTGCTAACACATGAAATCCGAAACAGATCAGCATTGGTATCTCAACCACCCAGCTACTGCACAATCTCTCTACGGCACTTGAATTCCAACCCGGTGATGAACTGGTCCTATCCAAACTTAACCATGAGGCCAATACTTCCCCGTGGGTCCATATCGCAGCGAGGTTGGGCCTGACTGTAAAGTGGTGGGCAGCTTCCAACCCAAAGAACCCAGTGTGCGATCCAGCTGAGTTGAAGTCCCTGCTTTCCGATAAGACCAGACTCGTAGCATGTCCCCATGCTTCCAATATCACTGGTACAATCAGTCCGATCCGAAAGATTGCAGACGTTGTCCATGCCCATCCTCGCGTGAGTAACAATAACATCTATCGTTCTCTATGCACTTACTCACCCGATCAATACAGACCCTGCTGTGTGTGGACGGAGTAGCCCTAGCCCCCCATCGTCAGGTCGACGTTAAAACATTAGACGTGGATTTCTACGTAAGTTTCAACCCAAGCCTTTGCATGACTGGTTGCTGATCTGCCCCCCACTAGGCATTCTCCTGGTACAAGGTGTATGGACCACATCTGGCGCAATTATATGCCTCATCACGCGTTCACGACCAGATCCAGTCACTAGGGCACTTCTTCAAGCCCACCGATACGCTAGACCTGAAGCTCAATCTGGCGTCGGCTAATCACGAGCTTACACAGAGTATTCCCCATGTTGTGGAGTATTTTGGCACTGACCCTGGTACAACTTGGGCGCAGATGGCCGAGCATGAGGAGCGACTGCAACAGATTCTACTGGAATTCTTGAGTTCTAATAGCCGGATTGATGTTATCGGTGAGGTTTCGGCCAGCAAGGAGCTCCGCGTGTCGGTTATTAGCTTTGTTGTGCAGGGAGTGGGTAGTCAGCGCCTTGTGGAGGAGGTTGAGCGTCGATCGGCCTTTGGGTTCCGCAGTGGTCATATGTACAGCCACCGGCTACTGGCCGACGTGTGCGGATTGGAGGATGTGGAGGATGGGGTGGTGCGGGTCAGTTTACTGCACTATAACACCGGTGAGTGGGTATCCTTTTGGGATTTGTTCGATAACTAATCAGGACAGCGGCCGAAGTACGGGGGCTGGTAGAGGTATTGGGAGAGGTGCTTGCACATTTCTAGATAGTTTGTATATTGTACATGTACTCTGTACAGCTTAGGATGTTCGAGTACATTTGCTATACGCTATGAAACCTTTTTTATTAATTTTGTTCCCCCAAGCCCTAGAGGTCTCAACTTAGGGTTACTAAATATTACTCCAACATACAAAATGCATATATTTGCCACTTGGCTGCCCTACATATCTAACAGATATTTGAAGAAATCTATGAAGCCCGAAACATTCTTTGTTTTCAGCCTAAGTTTGAGGTCATATGAGTTGAACCTACACCCGAGGTTCCCCAGCTCCATCTGGAAGGCTGCAGGCAACTCCAACCAGTGCCGATCGCAATATACAACCAATCAACATCGAGATAATCGGTGGAATAATGGGAATGATAGTGGATCACAGAACAGCCGCGCGTGGATTGGCCAAGATTGGTCAGGATGGGGTGCAAAGACAGCGTGGCAAGCGGCTTTATGACTCAGTCGAATTTGAACAAAAACCTTGGAGTATGGTTGAATGTTATGAACCATTTTTATGATTTGTTATGATTTGTTAATATGGTCTTTTTCTTTTTAAAATAAGATTCATCACACTATGAGTGGCTACACAGACATTAAGGTGTCACTGCATGATCATTCTATGGTATTTGGTAGATGGATTTTCTAGAAGAAAAGATTAAGAAAGATTATAAATATATCTAAAAAGAGATATTAGACTATCAAATAGAATATTAGTATAAAATAACGTATAATAAGTATAAAATAGTATCTATATAGAAGGGAAAAAAAAGGTGATAGTAACGTGAGTCACCGTCGTACCACAATCCAACACTCTTTCTTTCGCTCCTATCTCGGAGTCTTCTCGCCGCATCCGTATCCTTTTCCCTCCCCATCTCGAGATAGTCTCTCTCCATATCTCCTGATTATAAGGGAGATAAAAAGTAGAATATTTGACTATATTCTATATTTCTATTTCTATATTTCTATTGTTGGTCCCTGCGCCTCCCGGCATCTTCCTAACCCGCCACCCACCTTTCTCGCCACAAGACTTTCTTTTCCCCTTCCCATTTTTTGCCCCCCCAATCTCTTTTTAGTCAAAAACCACTCTCTGAGAGAAGAGTCATAGGTAAAAAAAACTTGCCCTAAATAAATATCTTCTGACTCCGCTAACTAATCTTCATTTCGCCTCCATCAGCCTCCCATCCCCTCTTCCCCCCGAACTCCTTCTCTGCCTAGCCCGCTTCAACGACTGCCTTGAACAAGCCGCCACTAAAGTGGTTCTGCCTGTCCATGGTCCGTTGGATGCCTTGATATAAACTCTTTTATCACACGACTCATTTCAAAATGTACCCTATTGACTCCTTCGTTCCGATCGCCTTTGCTACTGTTACCGACCTCTGCATCGTCACCGTTTCTGGCTCCATCTGAATCACTCATCAGAAAAGAGTCATCCCACGCCACGTGCCCCTACTTTGGTTTATATCAGAAGCACTTGGTTGATCGGATCGTGAATACGTTTTCCTTTTCTTGTCTTTATAGTTGATTGTTTCCCCTTTTGGTCTCTTATTTTTTTAACCCGCTACCACCCCGGCGGTTCCGCTTATTTTTCCTACCCCGGTTATCAACCTGGCTCTCTACGTTTAAAGGTCTGCCGTCGCCTAGCTCGCAAAGACGGCTCTGTCTCCTCGGCTCTCGTTCCCGGTTCCCTGCTTAACGGTATCTTGACACTACGGTTCCAAAAATCGGACCATCTCGCTTTATCCGGTCTTCATTTGAACTTTGTTCACCACAAACACCCTATATGAACTCTACACTTCCGGATATGTCAGGGATGGACGTCTTGGGCTTGACCCTCTCAAACCCAAGCTCCCAATTAACAGCGTCTCACCACGCTCACCCTTACGCCTCCTCGATCTCCTCCTCCGCATCCTCCTCTTCCTCATCTGTATTCTCCCTCGATTGCGTATCGCAGAGTTCGATATCATCAACATCGACCAACCCGGTTGACGTGATTTGGGAGAATGAGAGTAGCCATTTGGCAGGAAGAAACCAGAATGGGGCATGCTCCCGGGCTTTTGCCAAGGGACCTGCTTCCAAGGTGGACGGTGTAGTGCCATCCGAGCTGCGAATGCACCCTCGGCGCACTAACAGTTATTCTTCTAGCGCTCCCAGTGCGCGCCCTCCTCCATGTCTGCTACGGCAGTCAGAACGGAAGGTGAACTTCGTCGACAACCTCGTCGGTAAGTCTTAAGAAAAGACTCAAGTACGTCGTACATTCAGCTAAACATCCCCTCCTTTTAAGACACCGCATCACAGATTGTTGAGATCATCTGGCCCCTTTCCGCCGCAGCATCGCGCAGTGATGCCGCGACCGGATCCAAAGGGGTTCTTCCTCTCCGCACTTTTATTCAGGAGACACTCCGCCGCTCGCGTACTAGCTACAGTACCTTGCAGGTGGCCTTGTATTATTTGATTAAAATAAAGCCCCACGTGCCCACGCATGACTTCACCAAGGAGCAGCCTCGGGATCAGTCGCCTTTGCGGGCGATGCAGTGTGGGCGCCGGATGTTCCTGGCAGCGCTGATTCTCGCTTCAAAATATCTGCAGGATCGGAATTATTCCGCTCGTGCCTGGAGCAAGATTTCTGGCCTTAATACTCTCGAGATTAACCAGAATGAGCTTATGTTCCTCAAGGCTGTCGGATGGCGCCTGCACATTGATGAAGCAACATTTCAGCGCTGGACTGATCTGGTCTTGAAGTTGACCCCTGGTGCCGGTGGTCCCCCGGTTGCTAAAGGTCAGTGCTGGCAGACTGTCCTACCCAAACTCACTCCTGAACTGGACTTTGTAGAGTCAGAGCCCGTGACCCCAGTATCAGCGATGGGTGGGATGGATCTCGGTCTGTCAGAATTCCCCTCGCCTCGTAGTCTGCCAAGCAACGAGTCGGTGCGCTCCTTGCCCCGCGAACAAACTCCGACTTATGCTCGGAGTCTTCCGCGAACCATGGAGCCGACTCCGCGCATGGACTTTGCCAACTTGGCCTTGCCTAATGTTCCACGGCCTATGATGCTTCCGACGCCACAGATGACCCCCCAGTCTCAAGTGGCCCCCACTCCTGCTGCGAGTGTGGCTTACCGCCGCCCATCCATCTGTACGGCTATGTCTCAGGCGCAGAATGTGTGCATGGCGCGATCAACACTTGATCAGCGCCCGCCTATGTCATTCTGCCCTCGGACTCAGTCGTACGATGGTTACCCGGCTGTGGCTCGTCGGTCATCTTTGGCTCGCTCGACCTCATCGGCATCGTCTCCCGACTCGATGATTTCCGACGTTTCTACCCTGTCGTCCCGCTCTTCGCGGTCGTCATCAGTTTCGTCTAACGCCTCGGGTACTTGTGGCTCAGCACCAGCTAGCCTGGCTGTTAAGGCTACATTGCGCTGCACGAGCAATTCCCTCAAGGAGTCCCGAAAGACTCTGGCCATCGCTTCTCCGATTGATGAGAGTTGTCTGGTCGGCGTCTACAGCTCTCCTGAATATCCCAGTTCTATGGGTTCTTCGGTCCCAGACCTGTCTAATTTTTCCCTGGATTCCAGCCTGAGCGAGGCCGCTCAGAGTCTCTGCGAACTTTCCGGTGCGACGCCGGAACGGCGCCAGTGCCGAAAACGCGGACGTACTGGATCCGACGATCTCCTGCTCCAAAACCATGTGCGCCATCTGATCAACCTCGGGGCCTCTGGAGATCACTCCGTGTTGCCTGATGGACACTTCCCACGTTCGTTCATGATGCAACACGGGTCCTCCATCCCCCCCGTGCGGACTGGCCCAGTCTCTGGACCAGCAGGCATGAAACGTGCCTGCTGTGGCAGCGAAGCACGCAAGATCGCGTTGAACCCGAGTCTCCGTGTTGCGGAGTACTTGAATTAACTTGCGATTTATTAGCGGATTTCCTTACTTTTCTTATTTCCTTTGTGCGAGGCAAAAAAAGAAAAAGTCCGTCGTTTTGTTTGTTTCCCATACGGCGACCCGAACCCGTTGTACATACCCCTATTTTCTCGGGCACTCGGTTGTACGTATTGGGACTTGGGCGTTTGATTCCCATGAAATGTACGATCTGGTGATGACTGGCATGTCCTCTACTTGCATCGTGCATCTGTTCTCTCACTTTTTACCCCTTTCTTTTTATCTATGTGGTTGCGAACGGAGTGGTCGGCATGGGACGGTTATGGTCTTTTTTATTTACTCTGGTTACTGGCGGAAAGCGGGCGTCTATGCCCTGATTATACCTGTATCAACTCTTCCATCTAGGGGATGGTATATTTACCATTTCCGAGGGTTTTCCCTCTCGGATAGGATAGTCAAATCCAAATACAGCTCAACAGCGATATCGGCTCCCCCTCGTATTCCTTAGCCAGCCTTGGAGGCAGATGTTCACATGACAGGTCTGTGCGACCATTTGGAATCCATGGTTCAGCTGTGAGTCATGCATGCGTCAGCTGTGGCCGTGGTCCGTGAGTGCGCGAGTGCCGGTGTGGCTGTGGCCTTCGTGTGGCTGTGACTCATGTGGCTGTGGACTCGGATATTCGTTTCTAAGTATAGAGTGGAGCTAATGCATGGCATTGTTCATAGCTTTTGCAAGGAGCTGTGTACATTCATTCTAATACTGGCGTGCTTAGGCATATGCAGACAAAAGTCCCGTCTTTACCGGCCGAAAACTCGACCAATGCTATCACCCTAATGGCTGGCAAGGTCTTCCTTGTTCGGATATCGGCTTGATCAGGTCCAAAAAGTCAGATACGAGTGCGAATGCTTAGCCTACATAGGGGTGAAGATTATGTATTCATATAAGACTGATATGGTGATATCTCCTTTGGTTTCTGCATATGATGTCATAACTCAAATTATTATATCTAATCTATTATTTACAGACCTTTTTGGTGTCTCTTGTTATACTTATACACATTAAGGATCTGGTTTATTGCTTATCTAGGTCTTCATCTTTTAATGGGTACCTACTTTCCTAGTACCGATGCCATATTGGCCAAGAATAGCTCGCTATACTTGGGACCGGAGATTGTTGAAGCCTGGTTGGTTATTATACCATTACCGCATTTCACAAGAGGCTTAGGACCCGGGGAGTCTCAGGAGGTCGATCTTAGCACAGCGCTTAATGGACAAATGAGCAACATGAAGAGACAAAGCTCTGTTGCGAACTGTCATGCAAAGTCAGTGCTCGGGCAACAAACAGGTTCAGAACTCAATTCATTCCCACCCAAAGATTTCAGGAATTTAAGCAACATGTGCTTGATTATCAGGGCATCTCACAGATACCATGTAATAAGTATTGGAGAACTGGCGGTGTTAATTCATGGGAAAATCCGAAGTGGCGTCACTGGCGGCTAGAGATTGCCGTAGATGGCCCGATCAGATAAGATTGCTATCAGCTGATGCTCTCCGCACTTCCCCATTCCGTTCTACCTACTTTCTTCTTCTTATCTCCTGTAAAGGTTTGAAAGCTCTTTTGGATACCAAATTATTTACTTGAATAGCCGTCGTGATGGTCTCTCATTCAGCTATCCTCACTGGTGCTCTCGCACTACTTTTACCCCTCACGACCCACGGCTTTGTCGTCCCCCGCGAAGACAATCTCCAGGCCTTCCTCGAACAGCCAAACAGTTTCAACCCCGCCCTGAGCTCTGATCACATTGAAGATGAAAGTGCCTTAAACCGCCCGTCATGGTTCACCTCGACTTTGATGGCCCGCCGCCTACTGGCCTTGGCCCCCTCCGGCGTCATCTCCACCAACTTCCCAGAGTCCCTCCCACCCTCCGCACACGCCCCCTCAGACGTTGCCGGCCTCTCTATCGCACTACGAGAGTACATCGCCGATTGTGATGGATCCCTACCATCGGATCTCTCGCACGATGATAACGGCGATCCAACCATTCTCGGCCTTCGCATTGGAACTACATTTAAGAATATTGCAGCGGGGTCTAATCTCAGTCTCCAGTTAGACTGGTGGGATCATCTCAACGAAGCTGGCCCTGTTTATCCCGGTCTTCCTCTCAGCCCGGCTGCTCTACCTCGCGTCACTCTCTTCGGATACTTGGAGAACCTCCCATCCCCACTTCCCAGTGATGCAGCTGCAGCCCTCGAGAAGTGTTTCCTCGAGCCACACCCTGATGCAAAGGTTTGGATACCAGGTTCTTCTCACTCGCCTCATGCAAGTTTCTGGGCCCGGTTGGTGGTTACCCATGCTTACTGGATTGGCGGATTTGGAGACGTGCAGCAGATCGGGTGGATCAATATCACGGAATGGCAGGGGATCAGACCACACGGTAGTCTTCCGGGCGTTGGTGATGGAAGAGGATGGCAGGATGTCCGTTTGCCAGGGGAGAAGCAGTAAAGAGAGTACATAAGTACTCTGTACTTTCGTAGGGGTCGACGAATGACTATGGGTAGCGATGATCGCATCAGTTTCGCATTAGCATGCAGCATCGCAATTAAGCATATCTTGATATCTCTAAATGAATTTTACGAGGTACTTTTGAGCTCTCCGTTCTCATTCGTCCCCCTATGCTTATCTGCATATTGTACGCTTATCATTCCAAGGATTCTTATCAGCCCTGTTGAGCACGGACAAGGTCGGGGGGCAAATCTGGGGAATAAGAAGACTTCGGCCCTGCATCTGTTTTATTCTCTTTTTGTTATTGTTGTGTTCTACCCATTGTGTTGTGTTGTTATAATACAATCACAAGAGACCGGCGCCTAACCCCTCTTTATCTTGACATCCCGACGCCTCACCGACATCTTCAACCATGAAGCTACGCATCCCTAGGCCTCGTTTACGGGTCTCGCAGGGTGAATCTGCATTTGCCGCAGGCAATGCACGGTGGACAAACCATGATCTCGACCCGATTGCCAAAAATGCGCGCAGATGGGGCGTCCTCAGTATAATAGGTACAGTACATGTGCTTATCTTTTGCAACCATCGAACTAGGGCTAATAGAGCAATCAGCATATTGGATCTCCGATGCCTTGCAAGCAGCGACCTGGCAATTCGCCAGCGGTATGATTGCTGTCGGCCTCACGTATCGCGAAGCCCTAGGTATCGTCGCCTTATCCTTCTTCATCATATCATTGGTCATTTCAGCAAACGGTGCGGTGGGCGCCATATACCATGTACCATTCCCTGTGATTGCTCGTGCTAGCTGGGGATTCTGGGGCTCATATATCGCCATTATTTCACGAGTCATCCTTGCTGTCTTCTGGTTCGCCATCCAGAATGTCAACGGCGGAAATGCCGTCCGTGTCATGCTGGGAGCAATCTGGCCGAGCTATTTGGATATTCCAAACCATATCCCCGAGTCACAGGGCATTACCACCAACGGTATGGTCGGACTTTTGCTCTTCTGGTTACTCCAGGTTCCATTCCTCTGCATGCACCCAAACAAGCTACGCTGGCTGTTTACGGTCAAATCAATCCTGGTCCCTATTTCCTGGCTCGCTATCTTAGTATGGGCATTTGTCACCGTGAAAGGCGGCGGCGGCGTATTCGACCAACAAGCTCCAACAGTCTCCGGATCCAAATACAGCTGGCTATTCTTAGCCAATATGACATCGGTAATGGGCAACTATTGCACTATGTCAGTATCCCAATCCGACGTCTCTCGCTACTCTCGTGTCAGCGCAAAATGGCAGATTCTTTATATCCCCATGTTACCTGCTGTATTCACCTTCTTCTCTTTCATCGGTATTGCCGCTTCGTCCGCCGGCCAGATCCACTATAACCTCGAGTCCATCCCATGGGACCCAATGGTCCTAATCAGCTACTGGCCCAACCGCGTGTGTCGCTTTTTCGGCGCCGCGTCCTTCGTACTAGCCGCCCTGGGCGTGAACATCTCAGCCAATTCCCTCTCAGCAGCTAACGATTTCAACGCACTAGCACCACGCTACATCAACCTCCGACGCGGTCAGCTCCTATGTGCCGTGTTGTCCTGGTGTCTTGTTCCATGGAAAATCCTCGCATCAGCAGGAAACTTCCTTAATTTCATGTCTGCGTACGCCGTCTTCCTTGGTCCAATTGCTGCGATCATGATGTTTGACTTCTGGGTTGTCAATCGTCGTCGATATGACAGTCTCGCTCTATACCAGCCGAATAACCCGACATATCGGTATACATTCTCCATCCCGGGCTTTGCGAAGACTATTTCTGGTACGAACTGGCGCGCTGTGGTGGCGTTTGTTGTTGGTGTTGCGCCGTGTATTCCCGGATTGATAAAGTCTGTGAACTCTCATATCGATGTTGGCGTCGGTATGCACCCATTTGAGTTTGGGTGGTTATTGGGCTTTGTTGCGACTTCTATTGTCTATTTGTTGTTATCGTGGCTGTTTCCTGCGAAGGAGACGCAGGTTGACCGCGCTATTCTACCTGATGAGATATACGATGCTGGAACGGTGGATGGACTGGAATCAGATGATCCAGATAGGAAGGGTGTGGTTACTGATACACAGGAGAAAGATATGGATGTGGAAAAGGCTGTTTAGGCTTTCTCTGATATTGATGTGAATATTCGATATACCGAGTGGTATGTACATATCTATGTAAATATTCAGGTGCCAACTCCAATAAAGAGGTTTAATTTGTGAAAACATATCCATATACGTATAACCTTTGATTAAGTTAGGGCATTGTTCTTTAGTTTTAGTGTCACGTGGTAGCGACGTAACCAGCCCACTCCCTTCATGGTAGCAAGATCTTATGTCTAGATCAAGCCAACTAGATCATATCGTCGTTATGGATATAGGCCCAAGCCGCCTATAATGTATGGCTCAGAAAAAGAATCTAGATGTATTTCCGTAGACGACAAAGAAGTATCTCTTCCTAAAGGTATGTTAAGGGAAGAATTTGATGACATGAAGTGATGAGAGGACCCGAATGGGTAGTAGTGTAACGCTGGAAAGACAATGTAAAATATTACAAGATGATATTCATCATCGGTATTTGAGACCATTGGTTTCAATATGTGACAGGCATATGACATAAGGTCATGTGGATGCTTAGTAGTACATCGTTATTGGTATTGTGGTGTTCACTTGCGCTTCGGCTTGGGTCGGATGAAAGGATCTGACTCCTTCTTTTTGCGGATCATTGGGGGTCGGGGCTTGAGAGGACCTTGGTTGGGGGGCTAGATTGATAAGATATTAGCACGAGTGATCAGGAGGAAAGTCGACCTTGGATATGGCGTTTACATTTGCTCCTGGCGGCAGAGCCCTTGTTGGGTCAATTTCGGTCGGATACGCCTGGTCATCGCGAGAAGGCTTGATGAGACCCTAAGAAATTGTCAGTATATATGAAGCTAGTTATTTCATAAATGGGAAAACTCACTCCTGGTGGGCCGCTGCTTGGCGGTCCCTTGTAACCATTGCCAGCATTGGCCACTGGGCTATTGCGAGGGGGACCAGAAAGACCTGGGTGACCACTGACTCGAGGGACATTCTGACCACGAGCAGTCGGACCAGATAGACCGGGATGGCCACTACCCAATGGGCCTCTTGGGGCATTGATTGGGGCATTTGGCCCGGTACGAGGACGTTGCGATTGTGGTCCACCAGAGGCAGATTCTTCGCGTTTTCTCTTCGCGGGATTATCAGCAGGCTTCACGGGCGGGGTTGAATTTGTGGCTTGAACGACAGGGACCTTGCGGTCGTGTCCTCCCAGTTGACGCTCTCGCTGACGCGCAGTGAATGAATCTTGACGTTGCTTGAGGTTAAACTCTTCTCTCTCAATACGAGCTTTCTCGAATTTTGAAAGGACTTTCGTAGACTTGCAGGCGTGGGACGTATGCCCGCATTCGCCGCATTCGCCGCATCGTGGAGCACGGCAGGAGATCCTGGTGTGACCAGCCCGACCGCAGCGGAAACAGGTTCCTCGAGCATTGTCCTTTGCCTCGTCATTGTCGCAGTTATGAGTGAAATGGTCGGCGCTTCCACAGATCCCACACATTTTTGTCGTGTCTAGGCCCTTGGCTCCCCCAGAAGGTCCATCAGGCCGTGCAATTGGAGGTGTACCGCGCCCAGAGGCAGACACCGAGACGGAGCGCGAGTCAAGGCCAGTAGAGGCCGATGAAGGGCGGGAAATTGGTGGTACAGGGGGTTCATAGTCAGGAGAACTTCGGGCTTCTTCGGCGTCAAGGTCGACCATTTCAATCTCTTTGTAGCCAGTGAATTGTGGCTTTTCCAGGAGTTTCACAATATCACCCTGCGTGTAGACATTTCGCTCCCGCGCGTTCTTAATGAGCCCGTTCCAGAATTGGCCCTGCTCCAGGGACTGGGAGTTACCTAGAACCCAAAGCGATGACTTGGCACGGGTGAGACCGACGTTCATACGGCGGATATCAGCCAAGAAACCGATACCCTTGTTGGATGCTCGGACACAGGAGAAGATGATGACTTCGCTTTCTCTACCTTGGAAAGCGTCAGTCGTATTGAAATCAACCTTGTTCAGAATGTCTTCGCCATATCGTTGGGCAAAATGGAGCTTGAGCTCTCTCAGTTGGCCCTTGTAAGGTGTGATGATGCCAATCTTGCCCGCAAAGTCGTAGTCTTTTACATCTGTGATCAAACGATCATACAGTTGCATTGCCACTTGTAACTCCGCGTAATTGACCAAGGAATGTCCTCTGGCTGCAGATGAGTGCATTCCCTGAACATCGAAGAATCGGTAAGGACTGAGAAGTTCGCTTTGATGCCAGGGACGCCGGCGCAGCTTGGCCATGTCCGGTCCATCCTGCAACTTGCCATCGTAGAACGTCACACTAGGGAAACGACTGATAGCCGGGTGCATACGGTACTGGATATCCAGCAAGTGCACGTCTTGAGGGTGATTCCTCTGCATGCGGACGAACAAACTCTGTTCATACTGGAACTTGGAGGCCATCTTCGACAGAACAGTTGGAGGCAACTGTTTGGGATCACCAACAAGAACACACTTCGAGCAGCCGTACTTCAATGGGATGAGAGCACTGAGTTCAATACACTGTGCTGCCTCATCGATGATGACAGTCTCAAACTCAACATTCATACCCTGGAAAATTTCATGTCCAGAGCCACTGAGAGTAGTGCAGATGACATGAGATTCGTTGATAATTTCTTCTTGGATTCGGCGTTTATGCATGTCAGCATTGCGGGCCAGCGTATGGTTCTGGTCGCGGGCTTTATCGATAGACGTGCTCAGTTGAGACCGCTTCTTTTTCATCAACTCGAACTCGCGCTCCAGCTCCTCCGGAGGAGGCATTCCCTTTGCTCGTGCTTCATCGAGTCGCCCACGAAGCTCTTTGAATGACGTATCAGTTGTCTTATGCTCTTCATAGAGCTTCTGCAAGTCGACACCATTTCCTTTGCTGGGGTCCTGGTTCAGGCGGGTATTGACCATCTCCTCAAGGGTAACATCCAACACCTTGGTGTTAATTGCGTCACTTCTTCCTAGACGAAGAACGGAGACCTTTTCTTGCCGACCATGTGTCGTCTTCACACCTTCCTTCAATCGCATGACTAACTCGTCGACAGCAGCATTGCTAGGCGCACACAGGAGAAGTTTTTTTGATAGGGCATTTCTCGCAGGGCCACCATTAACTTTGACCACTTGTTTCCCAAGCACGTCACTTAGGAGACTTCCGACAAGTGCGATGATAGTCTTGGTCTTTCCGGAACCTGGGGGACCTTGGATAAGAGTAAACGCGTCGTTGTCAACAGCTGATTTGATGGCTCTTGCCTGAGCCCGATTGATGGAGTAATTATCCATGATGGGCTGGAGTCGTGTGTCGGAGTAAGTGAGAAGAGGTGAGGGTTTAGCCATGACAATCTCCTCACACAGATCATAGTACTGCAACGCCATCAAGGCACCATATTCACGCTCCACTGGGGTGAGAGAAGTGATCTTGGCGCCCCATGCCTCAGTTCCTGGTCCAAAGGAAGACAGGAACTTGCTACTCCCAGGATTGACCCGATATGTGACCTCCATCTTTTTGTTTTTCCGATTGACACCACAGACACGTGCGAGAACGTGGGGAGCAGTAGGGTCGGTTGTAAGTTTCGACGAGTTGGAGAACAAGACCAAATCACCTTCACCCATGCTGAAATCCTTGGGAAGAATGCCAAGCGGTTGGGTGCTGAATTCGATCCACGAGTCGACAGCCAATCGGGTCATGACTTTGACTTCGAAGGGCCGGAAAGAACCTTCGTCCTTTGCCTGTTGGAAACCTTGCCACGCCTCAAGAATCAACAAAGGTTCGAATGTACTTTGGTAGGCATCGGGTGTGCGGAACGTGTTCGAGACCAGGGAATAATCGGTGCGGTCCGAGGTAGGAGGAAGGTCGCCGGTTGCGAAAAAGTCCCAGGAGAGGATTGAGTGGTGAAGAGAACCGAGATCTGGAGCCAGGCGAGCCCGCATATCCCTGACAGATCGATGGCGCTTGATTTTTTTGACGGGTTGCTGTTGAAGGGATTGTTTCTTGCTTAGTTCATAGGCCGCAACGGCCTCGGGTTTCTTTGGTTTGGCACCAAAGAGCTCCTTGTCTAATTCATCTTCACTCTCAGAATTAGACTCGTCACCAGAGGAGACCATCATGCTATCAGCGGGGGTTGTATGATCTTTACCCTTGATACCAATACCTTTAAGGCCAGAGCCTTGTTCAGCTGTCTGTTCCCCAACGCCATGAGCAGGCATGTTCCTCTTGAGTCTAGCGAGCTCAAGCTGATCACGCTTCTTCTTGGCCTCCCGTTCCCGTTCACGCTTCTCACGGAAAGATAGGACGTTGTTGCCATCGGATCGTACAGGAGGAACTGACTTGAGGAACGATCCGGGAGCGAACGTATCTGGACGAGTCTTGACAGCCGTAGAGGTATGCATTTTGGCGGCCTTCGCAGCGTCCCGTTTGGCTTGGGTTGCGATACGAGCCTTGTTGAATTCAACAGAAGAAGACAATTCAAGAAGAGTTTGGTCGGTCAAATTATCATCGTCAAAATCGTCGTCACTCGTAATGCGTGAGGGGCTCGAGGTATCAGAGGGTTTCGCAAAAGCGGTGATAGAAGATTGTTTCTTGAGAGAAGCAGTTGAGGCAGTGACGACAGGTTTTTTGTAGTACGCCTCCAATGAGCGGACTAATTCTGCCTTCTCACGTTGGTTGAGGATTGTTTTGATAGTGCCATTGACAGCAACCCCCTCAATAAAGCTCAACGCATCTGGCTTCACGGTGGTCACATTCATCCCACCTAATCGGCGCAGAAGCTTTGCCACCAACCCTACGAGTGTAGTTGCCAGAAATTCATCCTTCAACCTAAGCCATTTTACCATAGCACTCATTGTGGCAGTTGGCGACTTCAAGAAATTTTCCGATGTAGATGTCTGCCCCGGATCAGCGTTCCCTACAGCTCCCAAGAACACACCATACTGATCAAATAGAAGATCTGCGAACTGAATGGTGTCACGGCAGAATTCAAGCATGACGGTCTTATCGTTACCCCGAAGATGCCATGCCTCAGTCTCATCAAAGATCGTAGTCAATGCTAGCCACAGATACTCCCATAGCTTCTGTAGCGAGATGACCTCTCGACGATCAGCGAGATTACGAGTTCGCAACATACCGGTCTGACTATCACATAATATCTCTACGATATCTGTACCAGTGTATAGCATTCTTGGAGCCGGCGCGAAAGTCTTCATGTGAGAGATCCGACGGAACGACCAACTGAGACCGTAGATCGTGGTCGTGAACGAAGTTTGGAGCAGATGAGAAATGGCATCTCGTCGAGCTGACTGACCACTGACGGCCTTGATCAGGTCAACCGCAGCTGTGTATGTGTCTAGGTCGGCGGCAAACAAAGCTGAAATCACAGCGCTGCTTGTATCCTGACTTCGGAACAACGTCTCAAGATGCTCGGGAGGAAAGTCTACGAGACGTCCGATGATTCGACATGAGAGGTTGGTGAGATGGCCATAAATCATGTTGAAGTGAGTCTTCTCCTTGTTCCCTTCTCCTTTCGTGGGAAACATCTCCAACCCCACTAGGGGCAAAATACCTAGGAGGGCCGAACTTGACAGCGGCAGATTACCCGGGTGCAGGTTCTTGATGACAGCATCCCAGATGGGGGCAGAGTAGGTAGATACTCCGTGTGCGAGGGTACCTTGCTTCAGAAGTGCTTCATAATCGGTCTTCAATGACTGACACTCTAATGCCAAGGTGTTGCGTACGACTTCCATGCACTGCGCGCGAATATCCTCCTGTCGACTTTTCTCGACATCAAAGGTCGGGGGGTTGATGATGACATTGATGGTATCACCAACCACTCCCATTGTCTCTGCCAACACGATACGAGTAACTGTACCTCGGGAAGACTCATTTTCTGTAAAGCGGCGTAGCGTTTGAAGGAGGCTGCTCAAGCCAATGTTAAAGCAGTGATAGCGTGACAAATTGGGATATTGGGTATCTTGAAGACGGCCAAGTAATTGCAATGTCAAGAATCGACAGGCAGACGGCTGGTGGGCACCTTTCAATGAGCCGAGGAAGGGACTGATCCAGGAAAGCATGTCCTTCAATGCGGACCTCTCAAAAGGCTCGCCTTCGGACGTTTCCATGAGAAAGGCATTGAATTGTGTGTTGTAAAATGTTTGCTCCATGATTGCTTGGGGAGAAATGGCTTGCATAGCATCCCAGAAGTCAACCGGGGCTTTCTCAAGGAATAGCTGGATGGCGTTGAGAAGAAATCGCAGGCTCGGCGCAGGTATGGAGAGATGATCGACGGAAAGACGGCAAGGGTCTATTTCCAACCCTCGAAGCTGATGTGTAATCTGCTCCTTGTCCAGCTTTCGGACGACAAGCTGCATGCCTCGCCACAACCTCTGGATAACTGCAAATTGCGGTGGCTGTTGTGAAGCAGCTTTTAAGCCCATCACCAGGCCATCGCGAACCGCCCATTCAAATTCCTGAGTAGTAGGAGGCCGCGCGTATCGTGTCCATGACTGAATAGCCCAGTAGCTTCGAAGTTGATTGGAATCGAAAAGAAAACGGGAGACAGCAGGAATGTAATCGGAAACCTTCAAGCTCCGCTTTGTTTGAATGAGCTTGAACGGCTCATCAAAATATTGCTGTAGGAGGCTTTCGTTGCGCAGCATGGCTTCACAGCTCAGTGTCTCGAAAATTGACAGCAACGCCGCCCTATCCAAAACACCCAAGCCAATTTTCTCCAATGGGGTTTGCTTCAACTGCGTTGTAGCGATTGTCAAGTTGCGGGTGATTCTCCGAATGTCCCACTCGTCGATTCTCTGGGCAAACGCCTCAATATCATCTTCATGATAGTTCTCCTCCTTCAGCAGGTCCACGAGCCAGATCTTGCCGATGTAATAATGCTTGATGCATAGATCACACTTCTCCAGCGACTCGTCTAGTTTTGCCAGAACCCAGTTCTGATCTTCCTCTACTCCATCCTTATGGTACGCCAGGATGCGCATGGACGAGAGGAAACTCTCTCTTCGCGCCTTTGCTTCGGCCACAATATCCTTGATAGCCTTCCCCTCTTCATCCACTTGTTCTAGATCGTCGTAGTGTCCATGGTCATCGTCGCCTTTTCGGGGGCACAAAATGTGGGTAGCCTCCGGGAGGGCCTTGAGTTCCCTGTAGAACACGAAATGTGGTTAGTCCTGGCTTATTTGTCTCCAAGGATTTCTAAGGCTTACCTAATTGCAGCCAGAAACTCCATGGTGTAGTCTCGAATTGCGGAGATAGTTGTATTGAAATGACAGAGTACGGTGCATTGCCTTCATCTCATATGTAGAGCAGCTAGAGCATCGTTTTGCCAAGAAGTAACACTGATTTCAAAGTGATTCCACGAGGTTTGGTTCAACTGCCGATAAGAGAATTGAATGATGTGACAGAAAGCTCAAGCGAAGGACGAAGTAATGTTGATAGCAGCGAGAAGTGTCCTCGCAACCGAGTGCTGTATTTGCCACGATATGCTGATTCTTTTGTGATGGAAGATGGATTGGCGACAGGATTTCCACCTTTTACCTCAAAGAATGAGGCTTTATGTTTAGCCAAAGCAAACGGAAACGAGGAGAAGATGGCGAACAAAAATCCCCAGAGCAAACGCGGGATGCCGAAGTGTCATTGGCAGATTGTACAGGCGGTGAATCTACTCTAAACGCGTAGACGCGCTCTATTTTACCCAACTAGGAAACTACGTAGAAGGCGTCATTTCGATACAATATAAACCTTCAACTTATTGCAGATTTCTTAAGTAGGTATACTTGAAAACCCTAGAACTGTGCAGTGGGAATCTTAAATGGCCACATTAAGTAATTTCCTCGCTGAGGGGGTCGAATAGAATACATGAATGCAACCTCCTATGCCGGCTTGTCTTTTTCGATAGAAGCAAACGAAATCCATGAACAAGAAACAAAGCACAAAGATCATCCAAAAAGATATAACATCCAGATAGGAAACAGACAACAGGAAACCTTCAAACGCGGGTGTCATGCACTTTGCAGAGACAGAAACGCTTTTGTACAAGGGAAACATAGGCTGGGCCAGACAGGCTTAGTGTAGAGCATATATAAGAACAATAAAAGGAAACATAGGAGCCAGTGGGTAACAAGGAAAAGGTAAGACTGAAGGGGTAAAAACGAAGATCGCGCTAAGCATCCGACCGAGTAAAGGAGTAAACCAGAACGCCTGCTTTCTATCAGGGAATATAAAAAGGCTCTCAAAAATAAAATAAAGAAACACCACAGCATATTGCTCGTCAAAATAGAAATGGCGAGGGGAAATCGCAAGGAACAAACCAGAAGGTCTGATGTGGGTAAAAGTCATCAGTGACGGGTCGTCAGGCTCAATACAACGCAAGATGCGCTCCTCTATATCACATTATGTATGTACAGGAGGATCGTCAGGAGTCCGGAACGGGTCCTCGTGTTGATGGCGCTGGGTTTGCGACGATTCAACTCGTGAGAGCATGGCAGCGGAGGTGAAGTCATTGCTTTGCTCGAAGCTCGGTCGACTCCGGTCAAACGAGTGCCGTGTCCGGTCGTGAGATCGGCGAACATAGTCCACTGACTGTGGCCGTGGATACTGGTCAAGACTAGCGGTGTAGTTTGTGCCATTACTGCCATTTTGACTGCGGGGGTTGTGGGTATTTGCAGTTGGAGCCACGGATGGAGCATAGAAGGGCCGCTCTTCATCAATAACGGTAGTGTCCTGCTTCATGGAGGGTTGCACTGGCTTCACTATTTCCGAAGAGGTGGCCGATTCATCACTGGGAGACGAGGCCTTCGGACTCCCTGCTTTGGGGGGCATCGGGGGGTCTTGTATGGCATCCAGATGCTTGAATTTGCCTTGAGTCACTTGCTCACGGATGATGTCGACATCAAGCGGGAAGAACACCTTCTGAATAGAGTTGAAAGTGAAACGTGGAAGCAAGCAAATCACGACAGTCATCAGAAGGACGACCCAGTAACTCAACGATCCATAGACTTCAGCAGCGGAATGGTAGAATTGACCCGAGGAAGTAAAAGATGTGTAAATGCCGGTCCACAAGAAAATGAGAAGACTACTGATAGCGTTGATCAGAGAAGTGAACCAATCCCATCGGTAGGTATTCATCATGATGTAGAGATTGCTAGCAATCACGGCACAAGACGCGACAAGGATTCCGATACGGGCTCGGTCGTTAATATTCCGTCCAGTGTCGTTGACAAAGTTTGCTGGTGCGAATAAGAGGTAAGGCATGAAGAAACAGATAATCGACTGGTACATTCCGTCGGCCATATACAACCTATCGAAGTTAGTATATCTCGGAGTACCACAAGAGTTGGGGAAATGATTTAAATACCAGAACTTAAGCTGCGACCATTCCTTACGCTCGATACCTCTCATGTACAATTGAGGCACGGCAAGAGACACCTTGTCCTCCACGTCCTGATCGAAGATACCCATGAAGATCACGGGCAATGAAGTGAAGGCGAGATTGACCAGCACAATATAGGTATAGTCGAAGAGATAGGAGCAATCGAAGTCGTTGTATATACAATACCAGAACAGGGCGAACGTCCAAACAAGATTCTGGGAGAAGTCAGTGATGATGCAAAATGATATTCAGTACCAACGCCACCTACCTTGTAGAAGAAATTGGCCGTGCATTCTCCGAGGCGACGGTACGACCATCTCCCATGCACCAAAAGAAGGCGCTGGAGGTACCGGAACTGGCCAATGGCATAATCGGAAGACATGACAGCTTGTCTGCCTTCTTCACCAGCAATACCGACACCAACGTCGGCCTCTTGAATCATAGCCACATCGTTGGCACCATCACCAATGGAAAGAGCCATGATGTTCAATCCGTTCTTTACCATGTTCACGACAGCGGCTTTCTGTGCGGGGCTGACACGGCAGCAAAGAACGGCCTTGCACTGCTTGCACAACAAAAGGAACTTTTGCTTGAAGTCATCGGACAGCATCAGCTTAAGTGTTTCACCATCGACGACCACGGCGTGGGTAGCCTCAGGCGGCGTATGATCAGCACGAGCAGCAATAAGTTCCTCGTCAGAACCAGTCAACCCGAATGTTTGCAAATGCTTGTCAAGTTCATCCTCGGCCTTCTGGGGTTCAGTCTCGGCAATATTCAGCACAATCAGGTCCATGTTGTTATTGAGAAGGTTGCAAGAAAACCCAATGTTGATGGCAGTCTCGACCTTATCACCGGTAAGGACCCAGAGTTTGATACCAGCGTCCGCAAGAAGCTGAATTGTATCGGGAACGCCATCCTGAAGTCTGTCCTCAATGGCAGTTCCGCCAATAAGCATGAGTTCCTGTTCAATCGCACTAGAAACCTTCTCCAGTTTCTCCTCACGGTCTGTGATAGAAGCGGCAGCGATATCATGTTCCTTGGCCCATGTGTAGTATTCGTCCTCAGTAAGCAGTCGATCGGCGATACACAAGGTTCGAAGTCCTTCCCTAGCGAACTCCTCCAGGTGCTCTGCGGTTTGTCGACGAAGCTCCTGTTGTTTGCCACGGGCTAGACGGGAGTAAATGATACTATCCGCACCCTTACAGAATAGGCGAATAGTACCATCGGGCATTCGGATGATTGCACTCATTCGTTTTCTCGATGAGTTGAATTCAAGGGTGTTCAAAACCGTATATGTGCGCTCCTCGCCCATGATATTCAGGAGAAGATCATCACCGGCTCGGCCTAGGACAGTGAATCCACAATCACGAGCAGTGCTAACCAACGCAGTCTCATCGGGTGACTGGGCCTTGAACTCGATTTGAGGAGGATCGCCGGGAGTGTGCTCGGTAATGACAGTGTGACACAAGGCAAGAGCCAGCATGAAGTCCTCTGTACAGTGCTTCTGTCGTTCTCCAGATTGTCCTCCCAAGTCGGCCACAAAGTCCGGGGCAACGAACGTCAGCTGGTCGTCGTGCAGATAAGGGTTGTCATGAATGTCACGCAACAGACCCAGCATTCGCTGCGCATCGGCAGCAATTTGTTGCCGAGCCACTGCGGCCTCTGCATCAGCATCAGCTCCCTCGCGACGGCGCATGCCGATCTGAGCTTCTGTGTAAGCCTCTCCATATGACACGCCGTTCACCGTACATTTCTTGAATTCCATCACGTTTTGGGTCAAGGTACCAGTTTTGTCAGAAAAAATGTACTCGACTTGACCGACGTCATCCGAAATGTTCCAAGACTTGGGCACACAATAGAGGCCCAGTTTCTCATAGTACATGAACAGATCGCTATGGATGAAAACGGCTTGGATAGTCCTAACAATTTCAAGAGAAATGTAAAGCGAAATGGGAACCAAGTTCTGGAACAAGATGACAGCGGTCCAGAAGGTGACAATACCAGTGACAGGCGGTGTGCCTCCATAGGATTCAAGGTCGAAGTATCCCAGGGATTTGTCTGGCGCGGCCCATGCGATTCCATTCACGATACCTGCGACAAGACACATAAGGAATAGGATGAAAAAGTTGTGAATAACGTTCCAGTTGAGATCTTTGGCCATACGAGGCCGTTTGGCCGGAGTCGCACCAGAATTGAGCATGATCTTGCTTTCTCCACCGGTGAAAAGGACAACTCCTAGGACCCATTCGGTACTCTTCAAAGTGCACCCACGGAGCAAGAGATTGTTGATAGAGATGGGTTCAACCATCTCCTTCCGCGGAGCTTCAGGGAAATTTGGATCGCGCTGGTCCCAACGCACAGCACCATTGTAAGAGTAGAGATTGGCATGCGGGGCCTCACTTTCGATGACAAATTCGGCCTTTTCGCAGTCCCTAGCATGTCGAACTTGACGGCCACAGTGGAGAGCTTGGCGAACTTTCAAGTTGGTCTCTCCGTCCAGGCCTTTTGTTTCGATATAACAGGCACCATCCGGGTCAGAAGTGGACAGAATCACAATATCAGCTGGAATCGGATCTTCGTTGTACAACCGGACGAAGTCACCAACTTGCAGGCTTTTCCACTGTTCTCGCTTAAATCGGGCCTTGCCGGGTGTCTGCTTGGATCTATCCAGGACGGTTCCATCTTTCTTGTCTGGCGTAGGCTCCACGACGCTCTGCCGAGCTGCGCTGGTTGGGGAGAGATATTTGTTTTCATGACTGTTCATCATCGGCCAATCTTCGCGAGCTTCGGGCTGAGGCGATGGAACATCAGTCATGGGGATGGCGACATCTTCTGCGGCTATAGAGTTGCGTTGCGTATAAATTGATGCCCGGGGATCAGCTGTACTCATGAATGAGCTGCGTCTTTGCCCTTGATCGTCATCTCCACCCTTCTCTTTCTTCTTAAATTGGGAAGTAATCCACTTATACGAGGCAATTGTGCCCCTGGTACAAGCCTTCTTGATACGACGCCATAAATCAATGTTTTCTTCTGTCGAATTGACATTGTTCCACTCAATCAGTCGGTAAACCGGAGAATTGTTCACTTGATTGTCAGATACAGTCCGTCCCCAATCCTCAATGGCGTCCTTAATAGCCGTCACGACGATAATAACGATTAGAGGAACGGCGTTCAGACCGGGGTTGTTGGCACCGAAAATTGGAAAGAACTAAAATATTATCAGCCAATGCTAATTGTAATTGGAGGTGGGGAACAAATTTGTCATTGCATACGTTAAGAATGATGACGAACAAGAAATAAATGTTCGCAATGTTGTGAAACTGTAACCAGATGTTATAAGGAACGAAAGTGAGCGGTGTATACTTGGCAGTGCGAATTTTGTTTCTGGGATACGTGATTCGTAAATGGCCGTCCTCATCTCGTTCGGATTCCGGGATGGGAATGCTGAAATAGATTCTCCGATTCGGTCCTTCTTGCGGGGTCTCGGGTCCGCCAGTGGTTGAGGTGCTTGTATTATTCGATTTTCGCTTTTCGTCTTTCATATCTGACCGTTTATGGAAGCGATCAATGATAGAAACACGTTTCTTGATGCCTCCAGCTCCGGGAGCTCGTGTTGTAGCCCATCTTTGTCGTTTCGTTGGCTTGGAGACATTGCTGCTGACCTCCCGGATATCGCTACTTTGCTCATTGTTGTCATCCCCATTGTCCCCAGGGAAGCCCACGGAAGCCATCTAGGCTATTGATGCGCCCAAAAAGGGCATAAAACTTGACAGAAACCTTGATTATTGGAAGCTGACAAGCATCCGGTGTGCAGGGCCGGAATCCGACAGCGCCGGGCGCAGGGAAAGATTGCCGGTCTGGGGTGTGTTCACAGGGTTTGAGGGTGGTAGAAACGTAATGTCATGGGCGACGCAGATCTTGAGCAAAGGGAGTTTCTAGACACGCGCGTTGAATATCTTGTCGGCGGGCTTCGAATCGTCCAAAAGTAATTCAAAACAGGGTTTCCGCGGCTGATCGTGATGAAATATGATTTAAATGCGAAAGCCGAGGCGTTATAGGGCGCACCCACAAGGGGCCATTCAAATACTTAAGTGAAAAGAATTAAAGAGAAGAAGCACCAGCGTGGTTATTTTCTGCTTCGAGGGGTGAAAGAGAGAGAGATGAAGTAGGCCACCCTGAGCTCGTATCTCAATACGGGAGTGTATGTAATATCGTTACCACCCGTGCTTACCGATGGGGCCGGGACCAAGATACCTTTGCTTTGTCATTCAAAGTGGACTTGGCAGGAGATTTTTACACGCGTCTACTTGCTAGATTGGTATAGATTGGTATAATATGTTTGAATTGTGGTTTTACACTGCCTCTTTCTCTTGTTCTAGGGATTTATTTAGAGAAATTTAGGCAACTTAATTCATGTTGGAGCCTACAACAACAGGTTGATAGATGTCAACTAGGGCTGATGGGCTTATACAATCTCGGGCTCAAGGGGACCCGTGGATAATACGTGTAAATTCCGGTAATTATTACATATCCAGCCCCGTTCCGACCTCCCCCTTCTAAATTTCTAACTGTGGCAATCGGAGCAGTCGGCACTTGAATTCTGGGATGTTCGGAATATATTGATATACAGTGCTATATATCGATATCTTGCTTAGAAATTGATAGCAAAATGGATTCTTTCTCCTTTCACTAGTGGGTATAGCGGCACTGCCCCGTCAGCACTGTGATTGCTTACTAGCCATAACAGGGATTACATACTCCCCAGTTCTTCAATAAGAAAAAGTCCTCTTTAGATGCAGACTCTGGAGTAACGGTTATTGGCCCACAGCTGCTGTTTCTTCGCCCCCACTATGAACTATTAATTTAACAGCTGGCCTTTTGCTAAGTGTTCTATACTCCATACCTATGTAAATATCAAGATTCTTAAACTCATTTTATGTGATGCATCTATGTGATCATATACAACATAGAGCAGAAGAGTCACGGTTTTTTTCCCGCCTCCCTTAATGATATCAGAACCAGCATTCGGAGTCGGAGTATGAATCCTGAAACAACCGACACGGCACGAGCTTCCCCCCCGCCGGTCCACCCTGAGTCAGCTTTCTTAAATTTTTTTTTGGTAGATTCCAAGGTTGGTATATAACGTCCACGGTACTCCCTACAGAGTATTCTATACAGTGGGTATGATAGGTTATGTTATGGGTAACATCTGCCAAATTCCCAAAAGACATATATGGGTCAAAATATCATTGGACCCATTTTTATGCATGTATTATTATTTTTTATGTTACAATATGCACTCCTTGTTTCTTGGCAAGAAAATTCGGCGATTATTCAGGAGAATACTCCTGAATAGGCCCGATGATCACCGCGTACATCGGATTTGCACGTTGTCCTGGACTTGTGTTCCCCCCTTTCTACTAGCCCTATGACCCCCATGTCTCACGAGTGTGTTACTCTAATTAAAGTGTAGATCTCGCAAAGATCTAAAGCAAATTGCAGTACATTGTATACAATGCAACGTTCGAGTAGTACAAAATGTATATGACCTTCAGCACCACGAACTATCATAGTGGACCCAACGTATAGCGTATCATCGCTTTACCTACCTAAAACTTAATTGGATTGTTATTATTCCTGATTTGGTTGTATACTCCGTACTTAGCCAAAAATATCAGAATCGGCTTCCATCGCAAGTTTGATGTCGATCAAACTAGATTTAAATTGTGCTATATTTTGACAATTGGTATGAAATAGCAATACCCCCTACTAATAATAAATAGCAGACTGGATCAGCCGCAGATCAACGCCACCAGAAATGTGGCTGTCAGATCTACAATATACCATATAACATACAACATACACTCTCCGTAGCCAAGTATGTTTAAGATAGTACAAAACATGTACTCCTAACATATATGTTATACTCCATACATGTTCAATCTCAATTTGACCTCAATATGAGCGTCTCAAAGAAAGTGACGTTGTTAGAGTTTCAAGCTACTGGAGGCCCCTTCCAGACCCTGGGGAACAAAGAAAGTTGCTGAGTCATCACTCATGTGACATCGCGCCGAATCGGCGCGTTCGACGACGCGATAGGCTTCTTTTTTTAAGAAAGAACTGTCTTCGACATATCCTATCATGCGAACCATAAAGGACTTATGGTTTAATAAACCAGCATTCACTCGTGTCAACTCGAACAGCACATCCGAGAAGAAAGAAAGCGCCGAACTCGCAACCGAATCCTCACCCCTCACCGAACCGCCCTCTTCCTTTGTATTCGATCAGATATCACCTGAATCTGAACAAGATGCTGAAGCACACTCAAACGCGGCGCTATATCTGTCAACTCAAGATACCCTTCTTCAACCCCCTGCACGGCAACAAAGTTTCCAAAGCATCGACTCGGCCACCGGGGTTTCATCTCTGAATGAGAGCTTTAGTGGATCTCAGCGCATCATGAAAGATGGCAAAGAAGTTGTCATTAGCTCAGATGGAGAAGACACAGACTCAATATGCTCATTAGAGGACCCGAAGAACCTTTTCGCTCCAAAATCTAAGCAGAAGGACGAGTTCACACCGGCCAAATTCACCACGAAGATATCATCGCCAAAGAAATATAGACACAATATTGACTCTCTCGTCTACGATGCAGTGGATGATAACGAGGTCGAAGCCAGTGTCGCTCGGGCGAAAGCCAATTATGTGCGAAAGGAACTGAACAGCAAGGAGACCAGAATCGACCCGTCTAACACTGGATATGCTCTGAATGAAAATATGTTGATCTCAGCGCTTGGCGAGAACGAAGACGGTGTCGGAGGTCAACGTTTGATAGGTGCTATTAGAAGAACCGATGCTCTTGACCGCGGCCGTGCCTGGCCATTCTTTGATTGCACACAAACACTGCCCCCGGCCCCCCAATTTCCACGGGATCTGTTCGCACCTGGGACGAGTATGGATATATTAAGGGGTAAGCTTCAAATGGGTCGCTTTTTCGTTCTTACATGCTAACCGATTTGCAGAAGCTGACTCCCGCGAGCGCCAGTTCATGTCAGGCGAATTTATTCAGATGGCTTTGTCCAAAGGGCTTGTGCCAGACGCATTCGTTTTGTGGATGTTTCGTTCAAGTTCGTCTCATACTATCCTTTATTCATTGACTCAATCTAATATTCCTTCAAGTACCCTATGAACGTCGAGAGGAATTGAGCAACGCTTATTACCGAACTATTAAGGTTTATAACTGCTCTTACATCGATCTCCCACTATTATTGACTAACTAGATATAACAGAATATGGATGTAGAGCGATTAAAGTTGCTCATCCGTCCAGCCGATATCAATGATCTTTTCTCGCGGTTGGGTGCTCGGAGCCAGGCTTTGGATCCTTCCAAGGAGATTATTCCAGTTCTTTCGCAATGTATGACTTGACTCTCTTGTCTGTGGCTCCAGATTGTGCTAATGTCGTCAGATATCACTCCGGAGTCTGCGTTGAAAGACCATACTACCTTTGTTTCAGTCCTGAGATTACTTAGAGAAACTGCTGGCTTGTGAGTTTCCCCTCCCAAGGCCCTGACAGTGCAAGGCTGACAAATTTGAAGATTTGCAGAAGACACCCAAGAGCAGGTGGTGCTCCTACTGCTACGTCTTACTCTCGATGTTTCATTAACGGCGATTTCCACGGTATCTTCGGAGCTTCAGTGGACCATCAATGCTGTGCTGGATCCTGAGAATTTTCAAGAACCCAGTGCCAAAGATTCGGTGACTATTCTCCTATATGTTGTACCATTCTCAACGCTAATGATATCAGTTGAGTCGAGTTTGCGCCACTTTCTACTCCACGATACATGATGTCTGCATCCAAAGTCAAATTGTACATCATATATTACCCACGTCTCCATGGTTTGCGCTGATACGATGTCGCCTGGCCGTTGCGTTTCTACTACAAAGGCCTGATCCTCTCACCGAACCCCCTGAAAAGTTGCTCGATATTAAACGTATCACATTGCTACTGATCCGCGATGAGCGTTTCCAAGTCAAGCGATTCAAGGGTATTGCCGACTATGACTGGAGGGAACTAACTTCCCTCACGGCTCTTCTCAATGTCGCGATTGACTCGTCTTCGTTGGAGTTAAATTTCAACAGTACACAAACCGAGAAAGACTACAACGCTGCCATCGACAGGCTGGCAGCTCAAATCAAGATGATATTCTGCTCCATTCAGGATTCCGGTGCCTCACATGTGACACGGACGGTAGCAAAAAGTGAACTCGAGGCCTTGCATTACCGAATCGTCTATTCTGTTCGGTCCAAGCCACCGCCGAAAACCACTATTTTCGAGTCACATGTAAAGGAGGGAGACATTCGAACCCATTTCAGCAACTTTGCTGCACTTGCTGCTAGAAAACAAAATACAGAAACCAGACTAGAAACGAACCCGTCTGTGGCGCCAGTCGGCGCAGGTAATGGTGGCACAGAGATTCCCATCCGCGCACATGACCAGGTATCCTGATCATATTGGCAGGTTGAGTCGAATTTTCATTTACTCCGAACAGAATGACTGTACGAATCGGCTGAGATGTTGAAATACCCAGCTTTTCCTTAAACCATCCCCTTATGACTTATGACCTTCATGATCATGCCCTCGAGAGTGACATTCTTCCCCAGCATTTTATTACAAAATACCAATGTAATCAAGAATATGGAATGAAAACCATCGCTAAAAGAGTTCGATCATATTCCATATCAGACTTGAACTGTGCAAAGAAATCCCCTCTGTCTATGAAGATGGCCAAGAGAGGCAAAGATTATCCGAACTATAACACACGAAATACAGCAGTCGCAAACGTGAAACCCACGATAGAAAAAGTAATACACACTTAGTCGTAGAATTTCCGGTTCGGGTTCTTTCCGAAGAGTGTCTCTCGGACTGCAGGGAGAGCATCAATTTCCAGCAGTCGCAGACGCTCCTCGAAAGTATTGTTGATCTCAATCTTGCCGTTTCCGCCGACAACACAGACACCACCGGCACTGCAACCTAGTTAGTCTCCTTGGTGTATATTTGAAAGGGAAGCGAATAAACTCACGATCCCTCTGGCAACGGCTCCGACTCGTCCAAAGTCACGGTCACCTCCGAGCCAACAGTGTCCTTGTACTCCTTGGTCGCCTCCTCAATAGCCTTCTTGGTAATATCGAAGTCCTTCTTCCGCGAGCGGATCGCTACGTTATCCTCGTTCAGATAGTACAGGCCCTCGAGGACCAGCCCCTTGAGCATGACCTGGTACTTCTTCTGATCACCAGCAGCCACCTTGGAAACCTTCTCACGAGCATTCTGGAACAGCTCATCGAGGAGCTCCTGACGGCCACCGAGCACGCGGAGTCGGGTCTTGTTGGCGAGTGTGGAGCGGGTGATCTGCTGAGACATGGCAGCCTGCTTGAACTTCTTCTCGTAGAGGGTATCGATGGCTGCAGTTTCCTGGCGCACCAGCTTAGACTTTTCGATCGCAAATTCTTCATCGGCCTTCAACTGGATCTCTCGGGCCTTCTCGAGGGCTTCTTGCTTGATGAAGGCGGTCATCTTGCGGAGCTCGCCCGCGACCTAGATTCAATGGTGATCAGTCCCAACCCAAGCTTCACGAGACCTAGAGTAAAGGGGAGAACATACCTGATCATCTGAAAGAGCATGGCTTTGTGACATTTTGGCAATTTACTGCTGTATAGCTTGTTGGGGGTTGAATGACGTGGGGAAGAGGGAAAGGATGTTGTGTCCAACTAAGCTCGGATTCCGTTGCCTTGGCGTTCCGCATCCAGGTCCTCCGCATCCCCCTCGACAACTTACCCTTCGTGATCTTGTCATTCCCTATAGTTTTATTTGAGTTATGGCTTCTATATTTCGGTAGTCTATTCTACTTGCGCCTCTCCCAACTGTCCCTCGACCCGACCAATGCACAATACACAACATGGGCAATCTAGGTGACTTGTCGCCGGAGGGAAGTGTTGCGGTAAGACCACAGAAACCAGTATATACTACGAGACAATATCAAAATTAACGCGGATATTAGGTTGGCGTACTCGTTGGACTGATCTCAACCAGCCTGCAAGCTATCGGGCTCACCCTCCAGCGCAAGTCGCATTTGCTCGAGGATGAGAAGCACCCCTACGATGTGCGCAGACCCCCCTACAAGCGCCGACGATGGCAAGTAGGAATGGGAATGTTTGTAATTTCCAATATTGTTGGAAGTACCATTCAAATTACCACACTTCCTCTCCCAGTTCTCTCGACGCTCCAAGCGGTCAGCAGTTTCCCCTCCATGCACGGCGAAGATCAGTTGCTGATAGGAATACCCAATAGTCCGGACTAGTATTCAATACTATATTTGCGACCCTCATCCTCGGTGAACCCTTTACTCGATATTCTCTGGCAGGGACCGTTCTCGTCTGCATCGGCGCATTGTTGATTGGGACCTTTGGCGCCATTGGGGAACCCGCACATACCTTGGATCAACTCCTGTACCTCCTCCAGCGACGGCCATTTCTTCTGTGGATGGGTGCCACTACCTTGCTAGTTGTTGGTATACTTGTAGGCATCAAACTACTAAAATATTTAGTGCCATCCTCGCGCGCGAAGCCCTCAGCCTCCGGTCATTTTTCGCCACACCTGCTACGGCTACAAAGCCGAATGAAGTTGATCCATGGCATGAGTTATGGGTTTGTCAGTGGCATACTGTCAGCTCACTCCCTTTTGCTGGCAAAGTCGGCAGTGGAGCTTCTCGTGCGCACAGTGGTAGATGGTGTGAACCAGTTCAATCGTTGGCAATCATGGGTTATTCTGCTGGGAATGATATTCCTAGCGCTCACGCAGCTGTTCTATCTCCATCGTGGGCTAAAGCTGTGCAGTACTAGTGTACTATATCCTTTTGTGTTCTGCATCTACAACATAATCGCCATCCTGGATGGCCTGATATACTTCCGGCAAGCATCTCAACTGGCAGGCTTGCATGCCGGTCTCATCGCCCTGGGAACAGTGATCCTCCTTGGTGGTGTATTGTGTCTATCATGGCGACTTGAGGATATCGATAACCATGCCGCTGTCACTACTGTGGGTCCGACACAGACCGGGCTTGGGCCGGGTATGGGACTTGTGGAAGAACAGTCTCCTCCATCACTTGGATTGCTGGACGGCCAGGATGAGGAATCACACATTGGGGAATGCGAGCCACTTCTCAACCCAAAGACCCATACTCGACATCTTTCATATCAGCGAGGAAGAGCTCCAAGCTTACCACTCAATTTCAATTATGATCGCGACTCGGTCGATCTAAACCCCGCATCTATTTGGGCTGAACTCGATGATTCGGACTATGAATCCACTCATGGACACACACGGTCCTCGGCAGATCGCCGACGCAGCGTCAGTGGCAGCGTAACTTTAAACACCCCATTACGGGGTCTAACACGAAACTCGACGATCGGCGCTACCCCACACGATCGTGAGAGAGGATCTCGCGGAGCCCAGGGCTCACTGCGTAGCAACCAATGGCGGCGCACTTCAGCACCTCAGGGTGGGTTATCGGCCCATCGTAAACGTCGGGGGACCGGTGGTCTATTTGCGTCGGCTGACCAAGAGGCCAGTGGGTACGGAACCATCCAAGAGGATAGCGACGATACCTACTGTCCCGAAGACGACCCTATTCTTCGCTCACCTGGTGCCAGGTCTGGTCTTCTTGGTGGCTCAAAGAGGGCTCTGACAGGTGCATGGAAATTCGGGAGACGATATCTATCTCGATGGAGCAGCCCGCAGGCGGGCAGTCAGGTTGAGATCGATCCAGAAGATGACTCTTCCTCCTCCCTACTCCCGCGCTCTGCCGTCCCTCTTCCACGAACCCGTTATACGCAGGGAACCCCGGTTCCTGAATCCGACACCCTTCAGCCATTATCATCCCCTTGACACTTCCCTTATACTCCTTCCCAATGACCTCCACATACCATCCTTTACTCCGACCTGTCAATCCCTATCTTCAGGACACTACCTCAAATCTTTCTTTGCTTCCCACTTTTCAATGCCCATGTACAGTAGTCCCCTTCCTCGGACACACCGCGCACCAACCGCTCATGTTGCTTCCATCGCTCCTAGCTCCCAATCGAGAAAACAATCTCGGTTTCTCTTTGTGTCCTCCCCACTGTCAAGATACTACATGTGATATGATACCACCGCGTTCGATTATATAGCTCCGCGAAATGAATATAAGACAGATACAATGTGTTCTATGCTCTCTATATGGTTAACCACAACTACATACCATGGGAAATACGAATTAGATGAGTATCTAGTATATACTTATGGCGTAATGCAAGGATCCTCAACAATCCAGTCTAGATGTTTGCCAAAAGTCCCTTGACTGTGGCATTGACCTCTTGATATGCATGCAGGTCGGCGAACTTTCTTGCTATCTCTCCATGCATGCCAAGGTATATAACTCTTCGGTTTAGAGGTAAATTGGTCGGGTTTAAAATGAAGTATTAATCGTGCAGATTATCAAAATAATTTCAATGTTGGGGATATATATCTGACAATCTTATATAGTAACCCTGACATCTACGAATATATTCTAACTAGACTTTCGATATTAAAATTATACACTAGGACTTCAAAAATTGCTTTCGAGACTATATATGTCTTATGAATATATAGAAATTATACCTTGTTGTGACTGGTCTTAATGCCCTGCGCTGTATATAGTGGGACATCACACACTAGAGAGCAGACCCCAAGTCACGTACGGAGTACTCATAGACCATTACATCAAAAAGGAACAGAATCCGATTTCTTCATACCATACATAATGTAAACCAGTCAAAGCCACAGTGCAAGATCCGAACCGAATGGCATTGAGAACCCGTAACCAAGACAGACCACGGCATGGAACAAAAGACAATTAACACAGTTTGAGATTAGACAATGGGAAAAATAACATCAGTGGCCAAGGAAATAAGTTAAAGGACTAAAGCAAAGAAAAAAAAAAAAGACTAAAAAGAAAAGCCACTTCGCCGACGAGTTTCAATGCACCACGAACACCTCCATCCTCCGCCATTGTCTAGGTAGAGGGGGGAAAACAAAAGCCAAATTAGCGATGAAGCCCAGGTTTGCCTGCTTGCGCTCTCTTTCTCTTTCATTGGTTTCTTTTTTTGGCGGACATTTTTTTGAGTATTTTTTGTTATTGGAAAGCCATATTTCTCAGCAAATTGGGGGAGTTCTCCTTTTTTTCCGAGATAGAAAACAATATCAAAAGGAAAAACCAGACCCAGTATCATCAAAGAGAGACTGGAAGGGGGATTCCAGCGCGGTGCTTGACAATTTACAAATAGTCTCACGAGAGTGCCCTGGAGAATGGTGTAGATACAGACCATTTCCGAGGGAAGAGTGGGATGATGGATCGGCACAGAGGGAGACGGGTATCAAATGAACGCGAGATCGAGGCGCAGGGAGGAACAGAACAGAGAAGAAGACGCAGCATCGGGAACCTTGAGCAAGGTGAACCCGGATCATAAGTTTAAGCATTTAAGCAGTGGGTTGGTGCTGGGGTGGCATGCGACTGCCGACCGGCATGGGATACTGACCACCAGCCTGCTGTTGCTGCTGGAGATTCTGGTAGTAGGCCATCTGCTGCTGCTGCTCGTTGGTCATGTAGCCAGGGTGGATACCCGGGCGCATATTCCCCTGGGGTGCGTTGACGTTGTTGTGAGCCACATCTTCTGGGGCCTCGGGGGCGACATCGGGGGCATCGACACCATTTTCACTGGCAGCTGGGTCGGGAGCGTTGAGGCATGCCTGTCAAGTATGTTAAAGACTGGATAAAACGGTATCATTGGAGTAGACCATGACTTAATGACTTACCTGAATGAGGTTCTTGCCCTCGGCCTTAGTGACCAGAGGCTGAAGTTTAGGAGTAGTGAAGGTGTAGACAAGGCCGGTTTCGGAGACGACCAGGAGGAGAACTTGAGTACCAGTAAGGACAGAGAGTTCATAAGCCTATAGAATTCCATGGTGGTTAGTAGAAGTCCCAATCGATTAAATGTTAGGAGGGGAGCCTCGATCGGGGAACCGATGCGGGAGGGCCTCGGGGACGCGACGCACCTTCTTCATGATACCGGCCTTCCGCTTGGAAAAAGTAATGTGCCGACGCGACTTATCCTGAATAAACTTGATCTCGATCTTGCGACGCTCACGACCGGGCTTGTCATCATCATCATCTTCATCGTCGGCGCTCATACGGTTGCGCTTGGTGCCGCGGCCATCGGCGCCGTTACCGGGAAGGTCATCGTGACCAGGGGAAAGCTTTTCGTCAAGAACCGCAGACATATTGGCAATAAAGAAGAACAAAAAGAGGTTTAATATGGGGGGTTGTTTGATTCGAGGGGGGGGATACCGAAAGGGGAAGTCAAGAGATGACCCAATCGAGTAACGCGTTTATGGGATGTGAGAGAAAGGGAATGGGGGAATCGATGGGGGGGGGGGGAGAGCGAAGAAGGCAAAGTGCGAGTTGCGATGGGCAGGCGGTCTGTTACGTGAATCACGTGTGTGGCTGGTATTGTTACAGTTTGTAACTTTAGATAAGTTGAAGTACTTCTGAGACAAGTAAAGTTAATATTAGACAAAAGTACTGCTACCACTTTACTTGTATGGGGTTGTAATTGGTTTGTATTCGCCTCCTCTGGACTGGAGACATTTCTTGGCTCTCAACTATTATTGGTCAATACCCTTTTCGGCCCCCCCGTTTTCCCTTTTTTGCCCTTTTCCCCTCTGGCCTGGACTCTTTTCCCTTTGTTGCTGTCAAGTTCCAATATGTTATCTGGCTAATTTCTTGGACTTTGATATTTCGAATTTTAATTTTCTATTTCACTTCTGATTTTCAAGTGAGAAATATGAACAAAAATACATACATTTTCTATACTCTGTAGGACTCCATTCCATTTCACATGCCTCCACGGGGCAGAACTTCTCAACGTCCGTGATATGATTGGCCACCTTTAAACAATAGCATCCATCCCCTTCTATACTAGGTATTTTCTAGTTATTTTATTATATATCATAGAAACGTCATATTTCAAGGTTACATTTACTTAAAAAAAAATAAGAATAAAAACTGTCACATCACACAGGTGCGGGTCGCACCTGCTTTGTGGCACGGAATAATGGCCCTGTATACAACATAGTCGCATAGCCGCATTCAGAGCACATAAATAGCCCAAAAAGGCATCCCTGTCACCACTCTCTTATCTCTCTTAAAGCTCGAATTCCTTTCTGAATATAACCAGCCTCGCATGCATCATTGCCCAGCAACAGTACGGAGGTCTCTGTCCTATGTAGTACTTTGTACAAGGCCACAGTCTCGACCACCCCCAGATATTTATCCCCTTGCACGCACATGCCTTGCATGGAACTCGTAGAGCCCCTAGAGATATTTGGCGTTTCACAGGCATATTCATGGGATGACTTGGTCAGTAGACGTTCAACAAAAGCCAAGGGAATCCGGTGCCTCTTGCCCTTGTTCCCTGCACATGTGTTCCTCTTAATTACTCCTATTATTACTCCCATTTACGTATTACGTAGTACAAATCTACTGTTTCTTCTCAGTTGATCTGGGTTGAGATTACTCTAAGCATAAAAGTAACATTCATTTCCCCCTTACACCCGAACCCACCAGGTGGCTACCATACAGCCGTACCAAATAGCGGCGGGGATTCCTTGGCTACACTGTGAGGCGTGAGGCCAAAGATCGACCGCTCTTGACTGTTAAAGGAAATAAGTGCATCCTACCGAATCCACATAGCAATAAGCACAAGCCGATCGACGGGCCGAACCGAGAAGCCCTAGACCCGATGCAGCAGTCAAGTCCAGGTTGGTCGCTTCTTCAGGATTCCTTCCTACAAAATACAATGCACAACTCTGAAACTGACAAAAACTGATCATATTCTTCACATAATGAACAAAAGGTTCAACGCTAATCACCAGCGGAAACCCCAAAAAGCAGGTCTGCTGTCAAGTCTATTTTTACAGAAAGGATGCAAGGCATAAGGCAGGAAAAGTGGCTTTTTCCCAAAGCGCACTAAAAGACCAGAAGGCATGGAGAGAATAGGAAATAAGGAAACGTAGATAAGAGCAAGCCCAAACCTATTAGGTGTGGCAAGTCTCGGCCATGGCCCTCATGGGTCCAGGGACAGGGAAAAAGACGGTAAAAAAAAAAGCCACTGAACATTTCAAAAAATGGAATACACCGTCAGGATATAGAGGGAGCACGCAAAGCCACCAGCTGCACCGTACTGGACTCCGCCAATGCAACGCCGGATAAATGAAACAGAAACTGGAGGACGCGAAGGGCAAGTCACGATCAAGAGTCTCATCCGGTAAAGAAAAAGGGCTGTTGGGTTGGTCGATTTTGCAATCATATTGGGCTGGTGTCGTGAAGTCGGAAGAAAAAAAAAGCAAGAGGAAGATGTGTAGTATTTTAGAAAATAAAAAAGAACCGAATCATGTGCAACGAAGTGAAGAGATACGAGCAACAGTCCCAAGGACCAGCCTCAAGTAGTAGCGGTGCAATTTTATTGCTGGTAAGTGCCGCGAAGGTAGTGGTCAGTCACACCACCGCCACCGCCGCCCTTGGGGCCGAGCCAAACGATCTCAATCACGCTGTGGCCCTCATCCTCTTCGCGAACGTAGAATTGGTGCACATTCTCACCAACCACAAATGCATCACGGAGCAACCAACGATCCTTACTCACACCCTCTTCCTCTGCGGGACGCAGGGGACCCAGGCGGTCTTCATAACCGCGGGGGTCTTCGGGCCAGGTCTTTTCGGTAGCATCGAAATTGATAGCATCATCCGGCACATGCTCGCCGTATGTGTACTTCACCAGCGAGTAGCCGTTTGTCATGACCCAGAAATGACGGAGATTCTCGCCAGTAGGGCTCACTGACTCTTCCTGATCAAAGACCCAGCGACGGAGAACCGACTTGCGGCCTGCGGCAGCAGCAACGGTGGTCATCTTGACGACGTCCTTGGTGTACCAACTGTTCCAGTGGTGCATTGATTCAATCTTGCGACCGGACTCATAAACACCATCCACGGGGTCTGCCATGTCCATCTGGAAGAGCGAAGGCCAAAGGGTCAGGGGAGTGTCACCGAAGCGTTGGATACACTGGCCAAGCTTCTGGTCACCGGGCTGCTCACCCCAGGACTGGCACTCTTCGTAATGCTTCATCAGGACATCCAAAAGAGGGGTCGAGACAAATACACCGGCACCACCGAAAGCGATGTGACCGAAAGTATCCACTTGCCAGCTGGCCTCAGACAAAGATCCAATGTAATGCTTCTTGCTCTCGTCAAAGAGCTTTAGTTCCTCGGCGATAGTGGGGAGCGAAAGGAAGAAGGTATCGTCGTCACTGAATCCAACCCAGGTGGTATGCGGGCGGTGCTTGCGAATGTGCTCACTGAACGCCTCAACCATACCGAAGTAGCGGGCAGTGAAGTCGAGCGGAGAGGCCTTGAGAGTCAAGTCCAGACCGCGGTTGCGGAAGTAGGTCTCTTGCTTCTCCAGGTCGTCATCAGACTCAGGGACCAGAACAATAAGACCGGCCTTGGTGTTTCCGTAAGAGTAAAGCAGGGAGGGGAGCAGGCGGTCCAGACGGTCGACGGTAGTGGCCAGACCGAAGAGAATCTTGGAGGTCTCCTCCACATCGTCATCAGCGGCCACATCGACGTCAATGATCTCGGGGCAAACAAAGTTTTCCTTCTTGTTCTCGGGAGACACAACCATACCGCGCTCCATGATAACCATGGGCGGGAGCACAGGCTTCTGGATTTCCTCCAAAGTATGGAATTCGGTGCGAGGGTTCACATGACGAGGACGGAAATAGGCGCGAGTGTAGTTCTTGCGGGGGAGCCATTCAGGGAAGGGTAGGGGGGCGGCCAATTTCGGGTCAACCTCACAGATGCTGCTGGCCGGCTGCTGCGAATCAGATTGTGACGGGCTTTGTACTTGAGGTTTGCTTCCACCGAAGGAGGCCCGGTCAGCTGGGTGCTTGAACCGAAGGAACGCTGAGCGGTCGTATCGTTCCATGCAAAAGAAGAAGATTCCAATGGTCATCAAAGCGACCAACGGAAATACCGTCTTCATTCGAAACACAGGCATTTTGACTTTTATTGAATAAATAGAACGAGACGAGGCGAAACCGGGGCAGATGAACCCTGGAATTAAAAGTTATGAGGTTCGGCGTGTGAGGTGTCGTATCCCGGGGAATATCATGCAGCAAAAGCTGGTAGCAAGACGCAATTACCGCTTGAGGGAAGAGTGAAATAAACGAGTGTTCCAAAAGTGGATTAAAGAGTGGCAGGCAAATAAAGTGCCGAGATATTTCAACGAGAGGCTGGTAGCGTCGGGACCTGCGACACGGTCCAAAGAGGAGCGTTTGTGAAGGGGGGGTAAGAGGATTGGAAGAGAAAAGAAGACAAGACTAACGCGGCTGGACAATGTGCCCAGTCCGAGTGAGAAGTCGATAAGAGCTTGGAGAATTGTGTCGTGAAGGTGTTGTAGGAGGAAAGAAAAAGGGAGGTCACCGAAGCAATTAACGGGACAGGTTGTTGTACTGGTATTACCGTAATGTATTATTTTGGTCTTTTCCTTTTTTTTACTTCTTTTTCTATCTTTTTGCTATACATCGATGTACCTATATGACTTTTTGTGCGGCCCTTTTTCATATGATAGGTTGTTTTCGGTGATATCAGATATTAGAATATATTGCAGCTTGATATTTACATATTTGTATTCATCCTCCGGTTGCGGTTGTTGATGCTGAGTTGGGATGCAGGAACAGAGCCCTTCGATAAGGATCTCAAATGAGATGTGGCTTATACTTTGTTTCCCTTTAGTCTTACCTGCTGGATCTAACTGTCGATCATGACGGAAAAAGGAATGCTGTTGGTTTGGATCATCCCCTCCCAGCTTCAGTGGAATACGCTGCCATGAAACCGATGATCGGCACTGATATTTTTTTTTTACCCTTTCCCCTGTCTTGAGGTCAATGTTTTGTCTAACCCGGGAACAGGTGTGGTTGTTCAAATTGGAAATGGTCATATAGCCCTTGGTACACCAAAATAAACAAGTTTCAAGTATCTTCGAGGCCCAGAAGGCTGTTTCCGGCGATACATATTCGGATGCGGGCTCGAGTGAAGATGCCGATCATCTGGGCAGTCGGAGAATCTGCATACAACATAGATAAATTTGTATGATAGGCCAGAAACTCATCTACTAATAACTCGAATTGGTCTCTCCCTCGCGTTTCTGTATATGTTGTACGGAATAGTACTTTTAACTACATCTAGATACTGCTATGTATAGATACAGCCATATATCCGAATTCGTACATTGCACCTGACTACGTCTACGCCTTAAATCATCAATCTCGGACAATATAAGCGACTAAAAAATATCCGTTCCCATCCCGAGATCTCATCATGGTGATGTGAATTTAACCAGCACGTCACTGTTATCAAGGCGCTCGGACCATCAAGGTTAGCGCTGTGAATATCAAAGGTATACGAACCTGTATCAAAAGGACAAGTATACAATTGTATTCCGGCAAAAGGAGAGAAAAACGAGCCAGGGAAATGATCAGAGCATGATCGTCCTGGCACCCAGCCGCGTGAACCAGTCAAAATTAGCCGGAGGGGCAAATGAGGCCAGTGCCCCCACAGACACGCGTCCTTCTTAGCAACGTTATACGATTAATGCTGGGCGCAATTTTGTGTATTATATAATATGATTTTTAACCCTTTTCATCTTGAAACATTAATTTACACTCCCGTATTTTTACTTCCTATATCCATAGAAATCCCAGGAGACCCTGAAAGCTTATCGGTAACGTAATTACAGTGGCGATAGCATTTCCCTCTTCCATGGACCTTCCTCACAAAGTGGGCCGGGATCGACAACCATTTAAAATGGGCGTTTTTGATTTATGTTTTATGTTTCCCTTCTACCCCTGTTACAGATGTATAAATTTGAGGTTCTGGGACTGGAGTACTTTGGAGTATACTATTTCAGTTAAGCATAGACATCTACGCAGTACAAAGTAGAAAGTACTCCATACATGTATATATAGAGCCTGAGCACCTGAACTGTGGAGAATAAGGAAATCAGGAGAACCATCCACTTGTGTCTAGACCCATTTGGCGTTATGGAGTACAAATGGTACAATTAAGTATTCATAGTGCATTCAGGGTTGCTGACATCATGTCATACCTCTTACATGTAACTAGATGTGTTCAGTGTATCAGATTAAGAAAGCCGTGTCAGCACTTACGAATCTACGGGGCTGAGGCATACATTCCCTGTGATTGCATGAAACATCCACTATGCAAAAATCACGTATAATGCAAAAGATATGCCGGTCGTTTTTTATGGTTTAAGCTTGAATGGTCGCCTTGGCGTTATCAAAAAGGGGGAGATTACATCCTTTGTCAATGGTGCTAGTATTGTATGTTACTGTACTGTAAATAGAGATTAGTGTCTTGTGGCGAACTTTTGATATTGAGTCTGGCAATACGCTCGTAATATTTTTCCTTTTTGGTATATAAAGTACAACCTTGGAACAAAGAAGGGCCTCGCACTGTTCGACGTTCATCGTTTGTGTTATCCACTTAAGACAGAACTTGAGATCTCTGGGTTCCAAACTACAACATACATAGTACTTACCTCCGAGTACAATGCTGATCAGAAAACATCTCCTGAACCCTAAATTATGGTATGTACCTCGGCATTTTTGTCACTACATAGGATGGATAGCATAGATCTTCCGTAATTGTAATAACGATGGAATGTTAGCGTTCGATGAATGATTCTTAAGGCTAGGAAGGACCACATTTGAGAATTTCTAGAACGTATGTATTGCCCCGTACCTCACAACATCTCTAGGTCTGGGTCTTCGTATTCATATTCATCTGATTCTTCAGATAACTCACAAGATAAAGCAATAATGGTTGATTCCTCGCTCCAGTCCCGCGTTAGATCCATAGCAGTTTGACCATTGTTGTTCACCATGCTGCAATCCACACCGGCTCTACGCAACGCCTTGATCATTAGATCGCCCTCCTCCCCACGTCCACTCATCACTGCTAAGTGCAACGCGGTATTGCCATTATTATCCTTTGCCATATAATTAACTCGGCCATCCGCCTTCAGAAGATGGGGCGCCCAGTAAAAGCCGGCTCGTGCAGCCTGGTGTAATGGGGTTTCACCGTTGATGTCTCTTGAATTAGGATCAGAGCCGGCTGCAAGCAGGATCTCAAACGCGTCTTCGGCCAAGTCAATGAAAGGAGCACATGCCATGTGAAGTGGAGTTTGACCAAATATATCTTTCGCCATGGGATCAGCTCCTCTCTTTAGAAGGAGTTTGATTGTTCCCTCACAGTTTTGAAATGCTGCTTGGTGCAACAAGGTCCGTCCAAGCGAGTCTCGAGAATCCACCTTCGATCCTTCTTCAAGGAGCCATTCCACCACGCTTTCACACTCGTGAGGCTCACCTCCATCCCAGTCCCCAGGATACCGATAGTAAGGCCACCTTTGTTGATGGCAAATTGTGTAGTCGTCCGCCCAGTCAACGATGTGCGGTGGTAAAAGTCCTCTTCTTACAGCTGACCAATCTGCCGTATGCCCATAGTCCAGGGCGCGAAAAATTGGATCAATACCTCTCCAGTCTATGGAGCGAGCACTGGCACCTTTATCGCGCAAAAGCTGTATCATTTCTTGACCACCGAAACTCAAGGCCCAGTCAATGGGAGTCCGGCCATGACAATCCCGAGACTCCAGACAGGCGCCATTTTTGATAAGACGCTCAGCAACTGCGCAGTTCTTGTCCCTAACTGCTAGATGGAGTGGCATCTCACCATTCGGGTCTATGCCGTTTGGATTCGCTCCATGTTCCAGTAAGAGCTTGACGGCTCCCTCGCAGCCGAGGAATGCAGCAATGCAGAGCGGCGTGCAGCAGTTGAGGTGGCCATCATGGCCCACCTGAGGGTAATGCGAGGTATAGTCTGACAACGTGTCACGTACCATCACACGGAAATCTCCAATCGGCATCGGCTCTTGCATATGGCCATTTGCGTCTAGGCCATGGGAGTTCACGCCATATTTCAGTAATATCTCAAGAAAGATAGTGCGGTTCAGGAATGCTGCAATCCATAATGGCATGAAACCATACCGGTTCTTCAAGTACGGGTTTGCCCCGTATTCTAGTAAAGCACGGGTCACTGCCAATTGGCCTTCCAAGAAGTTGGGGCTTGTACGCCTGTAAGCTTTGGCTACACGATGAATAGGCGCATCACCCTCATAGTCAAAGAAATTAGGATTGAATCCACAATCGAGTAAGGCCCGCACAGCGTTCTCTTTCCCTTTCATGGCTGCTATATGCAACGCGGAAGTGTTCGATTGATCGAGGGCGTAAAAGCTAACACCACAACCAAATAGGAATTTGATCATTTGCCCGCTGTTACTTTTTGCCGCAATGTGCAGCGGTCTTCTGCCATCTCCATAGACATATTCTAGATCTGCTCCATTTTCGACGAGGACCTTTACCACTTCGACCCGGTCATATTTAACCGCTTCCGCCAGTGCATCTTGGCAGTAATCTTTCATATAAATGCACATTTTGACCCCGTACAAAATCAAGAGTGCAACGGTCCTAGGGTATTCATGGCGTGATGCAATAAGGAGTGAGGTTTGTATAGTCTCTGCAGCACAGGGGCCAGTGATAGCGCCCACATCGAGAAAGTACTGGACAGTTTTTGATTGCCCGCTTTCCAGAGCCCATAGGAATCCGGGGATGTGCTCCTCTTTAGTACCATAGACATAGAGTTGCCGATTGAATGCGGCATAGCAACGATGATTTGTTCGAGCAAAGGCATTGAGGTCAGGCAATAACTTCAAATAGTCTGCTATGGCGAACAGAATTTCATTTGGTAAGCTAAGCAGACTCATCGTAACATAACAGGCACAGCTGCGAGCTGTCGAAATGAAACCGATGTGATAGGAGAAAGTTAACAGAGACTGAAGTTGGAGGGGGCTGAAAACTGCCAAGGCTAATCCCTGTCATTGTGATTCATTAGCCGCTAGAAGTTACAGATGTGATGGGGGCCATCTTTGGTCTCATAAGAGTTTTCCTCAATTTATGTTGATATCTGCTGAGCTCTGCTCCTAGGAACATCCCAAGTTTGTTTCTTTCTCCATTTGATCTCCTGATGTTTCTTCCCTTTCTTTCCTTCTCCTCTCCAGCAGCTTTACTCAATCCACGAGGTTTTTTTCCATAATTCCATTCAAATATTTGGGTTTACCCAATACCCGTGGGCATACTCCGTTTATACGTACATTCTACTAAGAATGATCTACTTATACCATGTCCGTCTCACACTCTTTCACTACATGTTGCGCAATATATCCAAAATATGAGCCATGCTGTGATCTTATATTGGCCCAGGTTAAGCCGTTAAATCAATTTCCACTCGGACGCAAAATACCCAGAATGAGTTCCAAATGAAATGATTATGACCATAGCTTCGACTGAGAAGAAAGAGGTCTAATATCAACCCTGCTTGTCCGCCTCGATCAGATTCATCAACTCTTGATGGATCACCTGCCATGCACTAGCTCTAGTCTTGAACAAAAAATGCCAATCACCCGCAGCATCCTTCCCAATCATTCTCACAATATTCCGAGTTGGGTACCCACTGCAATACTCAATATCGTTGATGTACGATGGTCTTCCGAGGGCATGAGGCCTTCCACTTAAAGGCACCCCGGGAGCAATAACAGCCGCCGACCAGTCCGTTTCAAAGTACCTAGCCTTGTGCTGATTAGTAGCGACCAGGAAGAGCATTTTCGGATCCCCGACCACAGGTGCTGCTCTCATAAAATTCCCTCTTTGGATGGCCGTCATGGCCTCAACTTGCTGCTTGGTTCTGTGTTCCACGAGGGCCTTGCGGTTCGTAATCGCCACATACTTCAAGTTGATATCTTGAAGAATCTTGCTTGCAACAAGCAGCGTGTAGGAGTAGAAGAATGAATTGCCGACGAGGCCAGCCGCGCCATGGGGGAACCACTCAGGGAAAAGATTCCACACATTGAAAACATTCATCACCATAATTGTTCTGTCTGGTGCAGGTTTCAATGCTTTGATCATCGTCCTTGTCCACCAGGCAACCACGACATCACCCTCGCTCACAAACGGCTTTTCTGCTCCCCTTGGAGCAGTGGCAGCTAGTTCCTGCAGTACAGTTTCCCTCATTCGATTTACGCACCGCCCCGGCAGGCGGATCGGGTGTTCTTCCAGATTTTGGAACCACAGAATCTCGAACATGTAGCGAAGCCCAAAGATCACAAGACTGAGTCCGCTCAATAGTCGCCCGATATTGCTATAGCTCTGTATGGGGGCTTCTTTGCCTAATGTGTATAGAGGATCATGGTCATAGGGGACAAAGGCTGGCACTTTTTCTTCTTGGCCACGAAGAACAGCTATCCAAGCGTTGAAGAAGTTGGTCCGTGAGATAGCATCAGCAAAGGTATGTACATAGCTAATCGTGAGAAGGGTGGCATCCTGGAAGAGAGCAGCATGGATATGGAGCTGTGGACGATCTGTGTAGATCCAATCGGCTAATTCTTTAGGACTGTCTGGGTGACAGACTATAGAGGTAAAGAAATCAGACGAGGGTGACAAGAAAGACTGATCTTGGCCAGCTTTAGGCAACTGTGAGCCCACCGGGTGATCGGTGATGCTCATGCCATATGCCGTAGTTGTGAAAACAAATGATGGGCGCGTCTTGTCATAATGTGCTGGTATATGATATTCGAGTTTTCCATGATTCTGTGATAGATTGTTAAGTGTGTTTTCATTACTAGAGCGGGGAAAGACTATACATTAAGGCGAAGCCGAGCCCCTATCTGACCCCAGTCTCCGATTTCCATCAGTCGTCCTAGTGCTGCCTCGAGTTTGAATGTGTCTAGGACATCGTCAAATCGGAATGTAAAGGCATGGCAAAGGGACCGCAAGTAATCCAGGTCATCCCAGTATCGCAGGGGAATAATTCGGTCAGTAGGCACTGTTGCTGGCCTTTTACGGCCGAATGTAGAAAAAAAGCTCATCTCTGACAGTTATTGGAAGTTGAGTATTCTGGGTGTACGATAGTGAAGAGAAGGGGCTCGACTTATCAGAGAATTGTGATGGTTGAGATGTAGTTTATTCTACACTTGCATGAATTCCAATATTGTCTAACAAATTACCCAATAATTGAATCTTCATGCAAGTAAATGTAACTCTAGAATATCTATACACATTTTAATTTGTCTGCCACTGCAGTCCATAAATGATACAAGCCATAATAGTCAGTACCAAAAATCAGATTCTATCCCGGGCTTGAGATCTGCGTTCTTGCCAACACATAGCTCTTTGATGACTCGTAGTCGATGATATGTAGAAGTGCTATTCACTTTCTTTCTTTTGGAGGAGCTGAGGCTGCAAGGTGATGATTGTTGCATTGGCGATGTGATTAACACATTTACGCGCCAATGCAAGTCCACGTCACATATCTCGTAAGGCGGCTCGGGGTTGTCTACTCCATATTCAACCTGCAAAGTGAAACTAGACTCTGCATCTGAGTTCGCTTGAACTGCAGGGCCAATTTCTGAGATTTAGATGAGTTTCGAGTATATTTACGAAATTGAAAACAATTCCCAAAAGTCGTTTGCCTTCAATTCAATCTTCAATGCAAGCGTTGAGTTCCCTGTAAATACCGCCCAAGGGCCATCATAGGAAAATAATGGCGATAATAGTCATAACCCAAATAGAAATGATTTGGAAACCCAGTTCCAGTGTATACTACTTGAGGCCATGATGATCCGATGCCTTTCTCTGGTTTTTGAGAAGACACAAGATACTGAATCCCGCTCTCAATAGCATCATCTGTGACTGGGAGATGAGAGAGCAATCCCATCAACGCCCACGCAGTTTGCGACGGCGTTGAAGCCTGCTTCTCTTCGTCGGGCAATTTGTATGATAGAACAGACTCGCCCCAGCCGCCATCGTCATTTTGTCTTGACTTCAGCCACTGCAGAGCCGGCTTAACTATCACACGAACTCGACTTTCATCACCAAAATAAGCCAGACCACATAGTGCATGACTAGTGCCGTAGATGTAATTGCACCCCCATCGTCCGAACCAAGATCCATTGGGCTTCTGTGTGGAAACGAGATACTGCACGCCGCGCGCACAAGCGGCACGCAGTGGAAGCAACATAAGACCCGCATCGGCCTTCCCGGAGGAACATTTCATCATCAGACCAAAGGCTTCAAGGATCCGCCCCGTAATGTCAGCACACGATGTATCACACAGACTATCCATGTCGCTGAATGGAATTTTATTGAGAAACAGCTTATCATTTTCCACATCGAAAGCAGCCCACCCTCCGTCGGGGTTCTGCATGCCCAGGATCCACGTGGCTGCAGCAATTACAGAATCCGAGCCAATAGATCCAGAATCATCCTTCACCTGAGCGAGGATAATCGCAGCTGTATCGTCCACATCGGGATACCAGCTGTTCTCGTACTCGAAGCTGAAGCCACCGGGAGCTAATTGGGGTCGGTATACCCGCCAATCTCCGCGGGGTTCAAGCAACTGGCGAGCTCTGATCCACTTGAGAGCCTTGTCGATGGCCTGTTGATTGGGTGACATTGCATCGCAGAACCCAATCGTCATCAAAGCCGTATCCCAAACAGGTGAGACACAGGCTTGAATTCTTTTTCCTTTTTCGTCTTCCCACGCAAATTGCTCCAGCGCTTGGAACCCAAGCTGAACCGGGTCATCGTTCAGTTTGTAGCCTTCCAGCGTGAATGCATACATGCTTGCATGCATGGGCGGGAATATTCCCGCCCAGTCACCGGTCTTTTCTTGGCGCTCTAGTATCCATTTGATGCATTGTTTTCGGGCGTACGCACGAACCAGAGGAATGGAACGAAGTCCATTTAGTTGGTAGAGTATTTTGTCCAGAACGCCGAATGCTGACCCCGCGAATTCTCTTTGAGACAGTAAATCCCAGAGGGGCTGGCCGTAAGGTACACTTTTGCTTGTGCAATCTAGCCATAACTCATCGAGATAGTCGTTCGTGGCGGACTTTCCATTCGGTAGCGAGTACACAGGTCGATGGTGGCAGATGATCAATAGAGGAGCAATAGTACCGCGAGCCCAAGATGCGAACGTATAGATATTGATTGGACAGATGGAGGGCAGAAGCATAAGCTCCACAGGAAGTTCTGGTACTGCATCCCAAGGGAATAGACCAAAGGTGGCCAAGAAGATACGAGTGAAGACGCGTACGCGCGCAATTCCTCCTGCTTCCAGCACAAATGCTCGGGCCCTCCGCATGGCTGGGATATGCGGGCTTGTTCCCAAGATCTTCAGTGCCAGGTATGCTTCGGTCGAGGTTGATACATCGCCTGGGTGTTCGGGCGCCAGACCCCAGGAACCATCACTATTCTGTTGAGATAGTAGATAACGACAGTAAGCTATGGCGTCAGCTTTGAGATCCAGCCCAAAGGCCTGTCGAAGGAAGATATATTCGGCAGTGACAGTGACATTGGCATTCATCTCGCCGTACCAGTGACCATCGGGGTGTACCAACCCGAGTGCATAGTCGGTTGAAAGCTTCAGCGCATGCTCTACTTGAGAGACAAGAGAGGAACCGTCAGACTCGTTTTGTAGGTTCATATTTGCAATGTGTTTCTGTCAACTATTGGGAGTGAAATTGTGTGCAAACTGCAGGATAATATTGAACCTTGCCCTCAAGATATGTAAATTCATACTCAGTACATGTTGCCAATTCGCTTGCAAATCTTAGGACTAAAATTAATAGAAAAGTTTGAATCCCATTTCTCATACCCAACTAGCTACATTTGTCCAAAGAAGCAAAAATAGGCGCAATGCTACTGCAATATTCCTGTACGGAGTACTCCGTAGCGTCATCTGCCTCCAAAAGAACCTTGGCAAGATAGTGTTGTACAGTATGACACATTATTCACAGTTATATCTGACTCGTTAAATAATTTTCTTTCAAATAATTCGTAAGCATATAAAACCAGCCATGGGGGTGAGTTATGATTTATACTGTCCCGTCTGTCGACCAGTACTTTATCTGACCAACGCAAGATTTCAACCATGACAACTCAGCCATCACTCTTAGGAGCTATTCTGTTAGCTTTTGTTATTATTCTCCTAGCACGAGGACTATGCCAGACCCGAAAACTGCGGGCACTTGAACAACGCTATGGCTGCGAGAAGCTCTGCGATGAAAGCGATAAATTTCGATACGACGTCTTCGGCATCGCGAAAGCAATACAATTGGGTTCTCATTTTCGGCAGCGAACATCACTCCGGTATACAAATTCTCTGTTCCAGAGATATGGGGACACATATGAATCCAACATTCTCGGCTACCGATTGATTTTCACCTGCAGTACAGAAAACATCAAGCAAATGTTGTCCACAGCATTTATAGACTTTGATAGTTCTCCCCTGCGAAAACCCGTGCTGGGTCCAGTCACTCCACATGGCATTTTTACTCTTGATGGCGCAGACTGGAAGAGAAGTCGAGGGCAGTTTCGGAGTCGAGTGGCTAACCTCCGAAATGCCATTGACCTGGACGTATGTGAACAACACTACCAGGCCTTTGTTCAACACGTTCCGCCAAATGGCCAGGTATTTGACGTTCAGCGTTGTACTTCTGCTCTCGCTTTGGACATGCAGACCCGTTTCTCATTCGGAGAGTCTGTGGATGCCCTCAGCCTTACTCAGTCCAGAGAAAAGAAGCAGTTTGTAGATGATTTCCATGTCATCAAAAGAATAGTCGCGCGAGATGGTTTTCGTGGGCCACTTCGTCATTTGGGGCCTAAGCGAGAATTCCATCAGTCGTGTCGGAGAGCACGGGAATATGTCGTGGCTCATGGCAGGCCGGAAGTTGATAGTCGAAGCAGCATTGAAAAAACGAAAGATGGACGTATTGACACTGCTTCCAGCAAGATCGAAGACATTTCGGAGTTTGCTGATCAGGCAATGAGTATTGTGCTCGCAAACGATAGCATGAGCACCACTCTCTCCGGTCTTTTCTATTGCTTATCCCAGGACGAACGTATCGTTCAAAAGCTCCGAGCAAGCATCATTGATACCATTGGACTTACACCACCAACATGGAGTCAGCTTGGGATGTTGCATTATGTTCGCTGGGTACTCCAGGAAGGTGAGGAAAGTCCAATAACTAATTTACCATCGAGCATGCACTGACACATAACTTGCAAAGTGATGAGAGTTTTCCCTGCCGCTGTGCTCAACGCAAGAGTAGCAAACAAGCATTCCAAGATTCCAAGTGGAGGAGGAGCCGATGGCCAGTCACCTGTTCTAGTTCGAAAGGGTGATATTGTAGTGTTTTCAACCTGGGCTCGGCATCGCCTAGGAAAAGACTTTGGGGACAATCCAGAGAAGTTTTATCCAGAGCGATGGGAACACCTAAACACCGATATGCCCGGCTTTATCCCGTTCAACAAGGGTCCTAGAATATGCCCTGGCCGTAAGCTTCCTTCCCTTGCTCATATGATCAACACATCAACTGATAATCATGCAGAACAGTATTCCATGATTGTGCTCACGTACCTTGTGGCTCGCATTTTCCAGACCTTCTCGACTGTATCCAACTACAATACTAAAGAGTGGACAGAAAGGATTAGCCTGACATTCGAGAACGAGAACGGGGTCCTGGTCGGACTAAGCTGAGCTTTTCCCATATGTGGGTTGAATATTTTAGGTGCGAACAATGTGAAAGAGATGAAATAAATCAGGAAGTCTCATTGTTCTCAATTTGATAACAGTTAACGAGATAAACCAGTGGACTCAAAACATATAGATCAAGTCAGCCCCAAAGAAAGCCAACCATATCAACCTAGAAAGGACACCTTTTGATGAGGCTTCCTGATTTCAGAAAATACATTCTCGTATTTCCTCATCTCGTACGGTGCCGTCCTCAGAAGCGCCTTCTTCTGCTTTCTAGTCCAGCCCTTAACACTCCTCAAGTGTTGCAAACCATGAACCCCAGCCATCGGATCCACAGGTTGACTGACATCCCTATTTGCCGGACTGACAAAAAGCGGATCGTGGATGGTATCCCCTTCCAGTCTGTATTCTTCCTCTAGCGCGAGGTGCTCCTTCTCGGGTGCTGTTTTGGACGGGTCGTATGGGGTTTTGTGACGTCCAACTTCGTCGTCCGTGCCGGATTGGCAAGTTTCTGCACGTTCAGGATTTAGGATACACCTTTCGAGGATGGGATCCTCTTTTTGAGGTAGTTTCTGTGGTTGGAGGTAGCAGGTGCTGCGAAGGGGATGTGAAAGCACGGGGTAGGTAGTGGCTGTTTGAAATGCCCGGTTCAAGGGCTTGAAGCACTTCATGATTTTTGATGGTGTTACCAACTCAATGGATCTGTGATGAGAATTTGGAATTCAGAGGTCGGAAGTTCATGTTTGTAGACGTAAGTTTACCCCGGACTTTATATACCCCATGGCCATAAGTTGGAAATGACGTCATCATTTTTGAAGGCGTACGCTCTTCAGAACGAACCCTTCAAGTCCAGTAGATAAGTATAGGGGCCCTCGAAAGTAATTATATGCAGTTCCTAAGCTCCTAGTATCTGAAATATTATCGGAACTTGTGTGAACATTGACTTGATGACCGAAGACTGTGAATATGCCCCGCTGTATGCATAAAAACAACATCCGAAAGTAAAGACCCATTCACAAAAGAGATAGTCCAGCTGGGGAATTTAAATGCTGTATAAGAATCTGGGGTTTCGATCACCCATTTCCTGGATATCCTGCTCCGACAGCGATGATATTTTCTCGTCCTCCAGGCCCTGGATTCTGCGTTTGTTGATAAACCGATAGGAAAGCCACATGCCACCATACACAAGACCTGCAAATGCCACCATACCCAGGGTGACAGCATTACCACGGACAAAGCGCGGGCCTTCGGAGTTAGGATACAAGAAAGGGGACATAACTCCGCTGATGTTTCCAAAGGTAAGCTGCAAGCCGGTTGCGTAGGTGCGTTTTGCGTATCGCGGTAGGTTCGTTGGTAGCCAGGCGAGAGGTAAACCAACAGCAACGTAAAGCCCCAAGGCTACCATCAAGGCACCGAAGTAATGTACACCCGAAGACGAGTCCGAAATCAAGATGCCATAGCCAACGACCGAGATAGCGCAGAACAGACAAATGAAGAACGCGCGGTGTTGAGTGCGATCGCTCAACCAGGCAACAACAAGATAGGCAATGGCACCCAGTCCATAGCAAGGGATAGTCAATGCCTGGACCTCGGCGGTGGTCCACTTGCCCATGCCTTTGATGATAGTGGGAAGGAAGGTACTATATCCATAGAGCATGGTATCGATACCAAACTGGCCAATGGAGAACGCCCAGATCTTCCAATCTAAGACACCCTCCTTCACATCCGCCCAGTGGAACTTCTGGGCAGACTCTGTCTGGCCGATATAACGAGCTCGGCGACGGGCAACAATTGCCCGCTCCTCTTTGTTGAGATAGTAAGCTGTGTCCGGGTCATCTGCCAAGCCGAACCAAGTTATCACGCCAAGGAGAACTGTCGGAATTCCCTCGATGATCATGATCCAGCGCCAGCCTCGCATGCCACAGATGCCGTCCATAAACCCAATTCCGTAAGCCAGCAACCCGCCAAAGGCTCCCGCAATAGCAGCACTGCTAAACAGGTAGCTTGTTCGCAAAGCAATCTCGCGCTTGCTATAGAACAAAGTGAGGTAGGTGATGAAGCCCGGGAAAAGACCTGCTTCTACGACTCCGAGGAGGATTCGGCAGGCAATCAAGCCGGCATAATTCTGAGTGATCCCTGTGAGGGTTGCAATGATACCCCACAAGACTGAGATCGTGGCAATATACCGAGATGGCCTTAGTTTCTTGAGTACAAGATTTGATGGGACCTCGAAAAACTGAACATTGGAGTTAGGGTCCGTGCGGTGACTGGATTGCGTGATAAACATACACAGTAGGTCACGAATAGGATAGAGACGGAGACTTGGTACTGGTTCCCAACGAGTCCCAAGTCCTCTTCCAGGCCATACAATCGCGCATTTCCAATGTTGACTGCATATTCATGTCAGTTGATGTTTTCGATTTCTCGGCACAGGCCACAATCGCAAAGAGATGAGTCAGGCACCCCACCCCCACGTACCTCGATCTAAGAAACTGAAGAGATATAATAACACCACCAAAGGAAGGATATGTAGATCAATCTTCCTGACTAGAGTCTTTTCAATCCGTTCCTCGTCGAGAGTTGGACCCGAGCTGAATTCATCAGACACGTCTTGGTTGGGTAAACCGGTGTCAGGTTCAGCATAACCCATGATGAGAAACTATCAGATGTTAAAAGATAGAAAGAAAGGCCCCTAGGCCTATTTCCCAAACACAGACTTTAGAGCCGAAGTCGGATGAAATCTCACGCGAAAAAGCCAAAAACGAAAAGGAAGAAATAAAGTTGCCAAGTGCCAAGACATTGGATAATCCCTTGCAGTCGATTGATAAGACTTCGGGATTGAACTCCGTTTATTCCGTTTGTTGATTTGTTAATTTATTTCTTATTTAGAATTGTATTAGAATTGTATTAGAATTGTATTAGAATTGTATTAGAATTGTATTAGAATTGTATTAGAATTGGATAGAGATAATAAATTCAAATGTTAACATTGAATGAATGTATTGTAACCTTCCCAGTTTTGAAGAGTAGAGACATAAATGTTGATGCCTGAGGCCATTATGCAGCCCCAAATACTAAGTCAAGTTTCGAAGTACTCCGGAATAATAACTATAGAGATCCCCATAAATATTATATCAATGTATCCTATAGCAAGTCTCCTTTTTCGAGTATAAAAGTTTACCGTTACAGAGCAAAATAGGCAGGTCAGCAGATCTCGCGATAGACGGGTCTGGCCAGCTTACATAATAGCAAATCCTGTCATTTTTGCCTATTGCCTATTTGCGAAGACAAGAAGAAATATCACCTTTCTGATTCTCTTCGCACTATAATCGATTTAGTATTGAGATTTGCTATGAACGGGACTTTTTCCTGCTTCACCCCGCAATGCATTGCTGACGGACCACGCTCTTAACTTCACTCTCACCATGAGAAAAGTCCCTCCACCTTTTTCACAAAGCTCCGCAAACGACTTCTAATTTTACTATCTGAAAGTTTTGATCTTTTCCTTTCATCGCCTTAAAAAGATCTGGAACATCGACATCCTCTCTTTCTGCTATCCTGGGTCCCACACAACCAAAAATTATTAAAAATCTGTCAGAATCACCCAGAAGAAAAAAAAGTACCGACCAATGACAGACCTAGTCACTCCTTCCTTTGGGAAGCTGGTCGCTATCAAAACCCTTGATGGCCATACTGGCTGGGTTTGGGATGTGGCTCTTTCCAGCAATCATCAAATCCTCGCTTCAGTCTCAAATGATATGATGATCCGTCTATGGAACGCCAACACCGGTCTCCAGCGCGGTGCCGCAAAAGACAACGGCCATTCCAACTGGGTGCGAGCTGTGAGATTTTCCCCAGCAGGCCGATACTTGGCCACTGCTTCCGATGATATGACCATTCGCATCAGCGACGTAAACACCGGCTTCACCTACCGCATGCTCAAAGGCCACACCGGCAAAGTACGAGCGGTAGAATTTTGCCCCGACGGAAGAACTCTCGCTTCAGCCTCAGATGATTTCACCGTACGCCTGTGGAATGTGAGCTCAGGCTCGCTGCTCAAAACCCTCAATGGACACTCGGGTTGGGTGCGGGCTGTGGCCTTTTCGCCTGACGGAAAGACCCTCGCTTCAACCTCCGACGATAATACAATTCGTCTTTGGGACACGACTACCGGCAATGAAATACATCAACTCAATGGCCATGAATCCTCCATCAGGGCCGTCTGCTTCTCCCCTGACGGGAAACTGCTGGCATCCGGGTCGCAGGACAAGGTCCTGCGCATCTGGGATACGACTTCCGGCGCCATGCTCCACGTCCTCCGAGGTCACTCTGGACTTATCCATGCGGTCGCATTTTCTACTGATGGGAACCAGGTGGTATCTGCGGCCGATGACCTGACGATCCGCGTGTGGGCTGCTCCATTAGGGTTTGCTTGCGTCCGAGTCTTAACCGGCTATACAGGGTGGGTTCGGGCCATTACTTTGTCGGACGATGAAAATATGGTAGTCTACACATCTGACGACATGACTATCAAGATCTGGCACTCGGCGTGATTCTCTCTCGGTAATGGCCTAGGTATACGCAAAAGGACTACCCTTCTTGTTGACGCACGCGTTTGTTTGCTTTTTTGTTTGAGATACCCACCAATGTTCTTGATTCTTTCCTTGCAATTAGCACTTATCTTTTAATTGGTCAAAAGCCGGAACCAAATTTATCTCCTTGACCTGGTTTGAACGGGGTCGAAGTCGCTATACCCAAGACCGTCCACTCTATTCAAGAAACACTACTTTATTCGTCAGGTTTTCAAGTCCACCAGCCTACCCTTGTAAAAAAAAAAGTGAGACACGGAAAGGTGCTGGACATGCCGCAGATCTCTACCTATTCCCAACTTTTGTACAGGGCTAGCGTTGACTCACTCGGATTCTTCTACCTTGTTCATTAGCCAATGGGACAACATGTCTTGCTACTACCCCTGTTGCAAACGCTTAGCTAGCGTAGTATCAAAAAGGCGAAGATGCACACCCCGGCGTTGACCGAGCTCTACGACTCGATTTGATACAATGGGCCCAACATGTCTCCCTTGCCATTATTTTGACTTGGACTGGAAATCATGAGCTGACCAATAAATGTATTTAACAAACCAATTTCAAAGGACGATCCTCGCTAAGTCTATAGTGAATTCAACGGCAACCCCACTCACAGAAAATGCTCTCCTAGAAAAGGCCGAGATACACCCCAGTCCTTCGCCATTGGCTTCGAAGAAAAGGGCCCTGGAAACTCACTGCACCGACCCAGACCAAAGAAATCGACAATAACACTTACCACCCAATACACGACATGGCGTGGGTATTCGGGGCGACATCTATCTTCCGGGCGTTGATCATGCTTGGTTTGCTTGTTATGGAGAAGACACACCCGTCATACTGGTATGGAAAGGCAAAGATGCTGAAAATAGCTACCCAACTACTATTGAAGACACCTTACGAGAAACCAACCAGACTCTCGGTGAGTTATACCGTAACTCTCTCTTCTCCGACCCCCCCCCCAGCTCTTAAAAGTCCAGCCCATTGTCCAGTTCCTAGCTATCTTCTATGCCTATCTTTACAGACTAACATACCTAGTGCTCTCGACCTTCATAGCTCTCTGAGAATAGAAATACCACAACCCGTCGGCCTAACTAGTCTATACCTCGCTCTGGGGATCAGGTACTTCCTCGGTTCACAGGTATGCGGGTTCCTCGCGGACCATCTTCAGAGTCTTGAAGCCGAGGTATGGTAGAAAAGGTAGACTAGAATTCAGAGCACGGTCTACTGTGGTATGGATGTGGAGCGCAGGCCGTCATTGGATTATGCCTGTTTGGAGGTATGGTGAGCGACTTAAAGCTTGGAGTAGTTATGCTGTTGCCTAAAGCAATGATGTTAAAGGTATACCTAGGTTAAATACGAAGGAAGATGATTTTATAGAAGATCTTATTTTGAATCCGTTAATACGTTAATGCAGCTAACATGAAACTAAGTAACCTCGGTCTAATGCATCTCCGCACTTGCTAATACCCCAGCTTTGAACTTGCATTCTTTAACATTCCAACCAATTTACAACGCTTTACAATGTCTGATAACTACGGCAACTACCAAACGGAGATCTACGGCAAGGGCGCTTTAATGGGCATCCTGCCCGGCGTAACCACCGATCCCCGCAAGCTAGAAGAGCAAGCTCGAGAGTCTCTTGGTGTCCGCGCATTTAATTATGTCGCCGGCGGAGCAGGCGAGAAAGCGACAATGGATAGCAACCGTCTGGCATTCCGGCAATGGAAGCTGTAGGTTTCCAGATATTTACTACAATACTCAGAAACTAACGGAGATAGGATCCCGCGAATGATGCGAAATGTGAGCTACAATATACAATGAAACTACGTTCTCGTTGACTGAAATATATAGACACCCGAGCAAGACGTTTCGGTCGAACTCTTTGGTCAGAAATACGATACTCCCCTTATCGTAGCACCGGTCGGCGTACAGGGTATCTTCCACGAAGACAAGGAGACAGGTCTTGCAGAAGTATGCGAGGAAGTCGGTGTACCGTATACGATGAGCACGGCGAGCACGAGCTCGATTGAAGATGTTGCGACCGCCAATAAGGATGGGAAACGATGGTATCAGCTGTACTGGCCGAGGGACAACGATGTTACGCTATCGCTGCTAAAGCGTGCGAAAGAGAACGGGTTCTCAGTTCTGGTTGTTACCTTGGATACATGGTCGCTGGCGTGGCGACCAGCCGATTTGGATAATGCCTATGTGCCCTTTATCAAAGGGGTGGGAAACCAGGTTGGGTTTAGCGATCCTGTTTTCCGTGCGAAGTTCGAGAAGGAAACTGGATCGAAGATTGAGGAGGATATCATTGGCGCTTCACGTGCGTGGATCGGGGATATTTTTGCTGGGAATCCGCATTCTTGGGAGGATTTGGCTTTCTTGCGGAAAAATTGGGATGGACCGATTGTTTTGAAGGGCATTCAGCATGTGGAGGATGCGAGGTTGGCGCTGAAATATGGGTGTGATGGTATTGTCGTGTCAAATCATGGTGGTAGGTGCTTTTGACTGGCTTTTTATGTCATTGCTAATTATTTTCGTCAGGCCGTCAAGTGGATGGTGCTATTGGGTCTCTGGATGTTCTTCCGGAGATAGTCGATGCAGTTGGGGACAAGATGACGGTACTTTTCGATTCCGGAATTCGGACAGGTTCGGATGTGATCAAGGCATTGTGTTTAGGAGCCAAGGCAGTTCTTGTTGGTCGACCGGTGATTTACGGACTGAGTATTCAGGGCCGAGATGGGGCTAGACAGGTGCTTAAGGGCCTTTTGGCCGATTTATGGCAGAACATGGGCCTATCGGGGATTCGGAGTGTGAAAGATTGCGACCGAAGTCAGATTCGCAAGGTGCAATATGGAGGTGACGTGAAAGCGATGATGTAGACATCTGTGAATTAGATTGAAGTACGGAATACTCCGTGTATGATCACATGTGAAATGGCCGATCTCAACTGTTGGGTGTTGGGAACTGGCTTCAGAGAGAACATTGAACTCCAAATGAAATCTTATCTTCATGGAATATTCTTGATATGTTTAAAAAGTCCAAAGATGAAGCAAAACCTGCTGAGATGGAGTATGCGCACGCTCACGCTCCCTCAGGATCGACTCTACTCCCGCGACCAGTCGCGTCATTGATATCTTTGATTACCCAGTCAACCTCACTATCATTGCGACTGGGCACATTTTTTGGCGGGGCGGCCCTGGATGGCGCGCGAGCTACGACTCTGACCAGCTTAGAACTAAGCCGGGCTTTAGTCGAGGGGATTTTAACCAGAGCAGGGCGTGATGTCGCGATTCGTAGTGGCGATGAACATGGCAAAACAGAAGCCGAGTCTCTCCTCGAGCGAAGTGTATGTTCCTGAACCCCTGCAGGGCTGTCGACTTGGTCTGGACTAACAACCCCCTAGTTAGCAACGCTCCACACGACGGTGACCTCGGCATCTTTTTTCGCCGCAGCGACATTTCATTTCTCGTCAACTACTTTGTCTTCAGTTGCAAATCTCTCCCAGGCACTTCTGTCTACTTTGGATGCTATTCTTGGATCCACTGAGTCTTCGAGAGCGATTGCGGCTATTATCACGCTTATTCGACGTGAGTTTAGATCCGTTGAGCCAGGCAGAAGTACGGAGAATATCGGTGTCGGAGACCTCCTCATCGGCTCTCTAGGCTTCGCGCTATTGCAGCGTTGGGGTAAGAAGAATACCGAAAGACATCTGCGTGAGAATGGCGGGGATGAGATTGTTTGGGATGTTGTCATCCTGGACAACGGCGCAAGGGCAGACGTGATTGGATCCCATCAACTACAATTTCCTGATCGTACTAATGAAGAGTTGGTGGAGCCTGGCAGTGCTTCCTTTGTGATGCCTGGAAATGGCGAGGAAGCCTTTGATGTAGTCCGACGGTCGAGCATGTCTGAACCATTCGGGCGTCGTCTCTCTATTCCGTTGGATGGCCAGCAGCAAGCATCCGATGAGGATATCCGCGCTTACATTATGAGCCAACTTCCTCAAGGTTGTCATGCATCTATCAGATCGGAAGTCCTGACGGCGCGAACAATCACGGTCGATATCTACGACGATGATACGGCAGAGATCGCCGCGCCGCCTGGCACGAAAATGATAGAGGAGAGATTCCATCACGATCATGATTACGGGGATACCAATAAGGCCGATTTCCAGCGACGGGGCCCCAGGCATACAGTGGTGTTTAGGACAGCCTTCAACAAATCGCAGAATACTCAGCTGCGACCCTATGATGGCTCTGGAATTCCTGCCCTACCCGAGTCTGATCATCATAAACGAGCATTGCCGGGCAACTCATTGTCCAACAGTCCGGTGAAGTCTCATCATGATCAGTCCCATTTGCATCCCGATGCCACACAGGGAATTGCCCCAAAGCACCGTGCAACACCTCCCGACTCACCGAATGAATCTCCCAGGGCTACACTTAGCAAAGGCCCATTCGCAAAATTTGCACAGAAGGTTAAGCCAGCTGTTCTGGAAAGAAATGAGGCCAAACGACCACCAGGAAAGAGGCCATCGATAAACCCATCCGGGCCCTCAGTGATTCCAAGTCCTCGTTTACCTCCCAGGCCTACAAAAGGGACAGCAGCCGTGAAGCAAGCCACTGCGCGAGAGGTCGCCAGCAGACCCGCTCTTAAGAAGAGCCAAACGGAACCTCTGAGCTATCGACCGACAACCCCTGCCCCAAATCGAGGTTTACGGAGGTCACCCTTTCTAAACTCCTCCCAAAGACAGTCGCCAGAATCGCAAGCGAAACACGCCCCGACTCACGAGATGCATGCTTCTAGGGTCTCACGAGGGGGACATTTCACGGTGCAAGAGAAGAGCCAAGAGTCCCTCCTCACTCAAACCGACACATTCCTCTCACGCCGTGGTGCTAGTATGCGTCCTGGATCGCCTGTCACTGTCCAGACTCACGTTCGCAGTAGCAGCTCCCTGTCTGTGACAAGATCGGAAGCAGATGGGAGTGTGTATGCGAATGATAGCCGTCCTGGCTCGTCATCTATGCATCACAGATCCCAATCATACACCCCCAGCCTGTATTCACTAGCAACTGCCGGGTCTGAGACCTCGCTACTGCTTGCACATCGGCCTCGCAAAAGTGCATATGAAGACATGGAAACCATCCAGGCGCTCAATCGCGATGGCTTTGTTCCAGGCATCTTTCCAGAGAGACACTTCGTACAAAACATTCGCCGGTTCTGTCGGTTCTCCGCTGCCTCATATGGCTCGAATGCGCTCACGGTCATGGGTGTTCCTAGTGGCTCGAAGAATCTACCCAATACCAAGTCCGACGGCCACGAGCATAGTGCATTCTCAGAAAATGCAGGTCTCCCACCCTCCACCATCCTACTATCATCATTTGTCGACCCAGCGGGTGGGTCGAACGCAGCCGGTGAAACAGAGACAGGCTTCCCACTAGTGCACTATCTTTCCATCGACCACGACTCCAAAGCGGTTGTTCTAACTCTACGAGGAACATGGGGCTTCGAGGACATCCTCACCGACATGACCTGCGACTACGACGACCTCGAATGGCAAGGCAAAAGCTGGAAGGTCCACAAAGGCATGCACGCCTCAGCCAAGCGACTCCTAGAAGGCGGCGGCGGCCGAGTCATGATCACCCTACGCGCAGCACTAGAAGAATTCCAAGACTACGGCATAATTCTATGCGGACACTCACTCGGCGGAGGCGTCGCAGCCCTCCTCGCAACAATGATATCAGAACCAAACCCCTCCACAACAGGCACATCCTTCGTAACAGCCTCATATCAACCCGCCACCCGTCCCCGTCTCTTAACCGCAGATAGCAATCCCGCCCCAGACACAACCCTACCAACCTACACCCTCCCCGCAAATCGCCCAATCCACGTCTACGCCTACGGCCCCCCAGCCACGATGTCCCCCTTCCTCCGCCTCGCCACGCGAGGCCTAATAACAACAATCGTAAACGGCTCAGACATAGTCCCCAGTCTATCGCTGGGCATTCTACACGATATGCACACGGCGTCAGTATCCTTCAAAGACGACGCCACAGGCGCAAAAGCACACATCCGTCAACGGGTCAGCGATTCACTCCGTCAAAGCATCATCCACAAATTCTACGTTAACCAGCCTCCGCTGGTAGTTAATGCGGGCGATGGCGTCGGTGAAGATGCGTGGGCTTGGAAGACGTTGAAACTGCTGCGGGATGAGATGCGTGCGCCGAAACTCATGCCGCCCGGTGAGGTTTTTGTCGTTGAGACGATGCGGGTTCTACAGCGGGATGCGTTTACGGCGCCGGAGCTTGGGAGCGATGGGTATCCGCGGCTTGGGAGGCCGGCGACGCGTGTGCAGATTCGGTTTATTAGGGATGTTGATGCTTGGTTTGGGGAGTTGCGCTTTGCGGGGGGTATGTTGAGTGATCATAACCCTGCGCGATATGAGACTAGTCTTGCTGCTTTGGTGAGGGGGGTTTTGGATGAGTAGGGCTTGCGAGTTGGTTAGATACCTTTTCTTTTTGGTTATTTGGATTACTTCCAACATTATGTTTGTAATGATTTGATGATACATTTAGGGCTCAGATAGATAAGAATGAATTCGATGTTTGTACAAGTTAGTACTTGGGTTGTCATAAGAATGACCTCTTGCCCTCGGGGACCATTAATTTGTGGTTAACAAAGAACGAAGAATTATGGGCGCTACGAGGACTACGGTATGAGCAAGAAGAGAAAGAGAGTCTTCGTCATAAAATATACATTGAGATCGTAATTTTATAGTGTATAGAACCGACCCATCTAAACCAAATGGGAATCCCATAAAAAGAATCAAAACCAAGATCCAGGGTATCATCACGGCATCACAGACAACGCCAAACAAAAGAAATCCCCACCAGACAAAAGAAAAAACCCCTTTGAGAAAAATAACATGACAAGAATCGAAAGAATGCCACAAAGCCACCCGCTTATACAACAAGCGCGGTGGCAACAGTAGCAGGACCGGGGCGACCAGAGTGGCAACCACGCTCATGGCGCTTCATATTGCTGCGCACGGAGAAAGCCTTACCGCAACCGGCATGGGTACAGCGGAAGGGCTTCTCGCCAGTGTGCGAGTGAGAGTGGATGCGCAGGGAGGAAGGGCGCGAGAAAGCCTTGTGGCAGGTACGGCAGATATACCGGTCGTGGTTCTGCTGGTACGGGGCTGAGGTGGAGGGCGGGAAGTAGTGGTGGTGTTGCCAGGCCGGGGTGACGGGGGAGATGAGAGCGGAAGCCGAGTGTGAGTGCTGCTGCGTCTGGACCTGGACTGAGGGCATCTGGGGAGCTGATGCTGGGGTCGAAGGCTGGAAGGAGGATGTGGTTGGTGGGCGAGGGTAGTACATTGGCTGTTGGGGAGCGTCGATTGGAGATGTGTAGGATGAGACGCTTGGTGCGGGCGAGGCGTAGGGTGCTGTGTTGCGGGGGATGTGGATTGAGCTGTTGCTAGAGATTGAGGAACGGTGTAGGTGGTGCGCTTCCTTGTGGGAGAGTGACTCCACGGGAGATGCACGGCGGTGGCTGTGGCCGGAGCCGGGGCGCATGGGTGGTGTTGGGGGAAGCTCATAGTGGCGTTCACCGAGAGATGGTGAAAGACGTTGGCGCTCTGGGAGGTATATGTTAGTGGGGATGTTTAGGGGTTGTAGTATGGTTGGAAGTACTCACTAGCTGCCTGTTGGGCACCATCGGCACCCTCAAAGAGAGATGAGATCGAAGGCAATGAGACCTTAGGCTCTTCGGCTGGCGGCGACAGAGGCGGCGAGCGCTTATAGTAGCTGGACTCGAGAGGAGTATACATTGGCTTAACTGCCGTGTGGGAGAGGAGGTTGGAGAGATCCATGATGAAGAAGATGGGTTGGAGAGGTTTGATCTAGGTGCGTTTCAAGTTCGGCTTTGTTCAGTGAGTGGGGGATGCCACGAGGTTTATACCTAGAAAGCAGGCGGGCGGCTTTGGATGATCGCCAGCGGACGATGCCGAGTCAGGCAAAATTACGATTTACGTTACCATTTTTTATTTCTTTTTTTTTAATTTTTGTATTTACTTTTTTTAATTTCTGTTTATTTTTAATTACTTTTAATGAGACGCAGTATGCTCCAAAGCTTAATTTAATTGATTTTTCTACTTTAGGTTTAATAAATTCAATTTAAAATTAATCTAAGCGAGATCAATAATAAATAATTATTCTTTTCGGAGATTAACGTGGGGAATGACGATTCAACCACGCGAGAGAGGCAAAAGCCCTAACCTACCAGCCTTGTGGGATGTGCAGCGCCCTAAACCCAAATTGGGAGGCCGTAAAAACCCCGTTGGACGATTGCACCTCGGCTACGGTTAGTGCAGATCCTGCTGGACCTGTCACATATACTAAGCCACCCCATAAACGGCTGATCGATCAGAGATCTGTTGATCTACGAGAGCGATGAATGGCTGTATACAGAGTAGAGATAGATATAATCGTTCTTATTATCTCTTCTTTTGAACTATGATGAAAATTAGAATAATTATAAGTTCAAAACCCGGGGATAACACGGTTCAGGAGATCATTTGTCGCGTGGCTATGGAGAAAAACGGCGCAAGCGAAAAGGGAAGGTCACAAAGGGATGTGACTAGTCCGTTTTGGGCCACACCTCCGGAACCTTGGATTCATATTTACGCCTGCACTGCTCATACGCTGAACAGGGTACTCCGTACATACTATCCATGGTTCCATGCACTGCGAATTAAAATTAATCTATTAATTTTCCATCCCGGATTCTCATCACAAAGGGCGGCTCTAAGCGCTGGGGGCGAGACCAGGAGGGGATGTCTGAAACAGTTAATCCATGGCCTTGGGCCTCGCTTACACAGATCTAAGAGGCACTGGGAGCGGAGTACCTCAATGTATGTATACATATCATGCATGGGGAAAACTTGTTTCTCTCACACTCTAATGCATGATGCGTATGTAATATCCAGTTAATCTATGATGTACGCTCTGATCACAGTCTTATCGTAAATCTAATTTGAGAACAGAAAAAAGGAAAGTTCACTTCGGCGGTTAAGACCACATACGGTAACAAAGGCCTAGAGTCGTTCTAAGACCATGCTCCTGAAGATCATTCCTCGAAGCCATGGAACTGAGCTTTTCTATGTCTACCAAAGAAAACGAGTTAATGAAACGATCGGCGTTCTGGAACATTACTCTGATTACCATTACCTGTAATTGTCTTTTGGCCGTGCACGGCTTCTGCACAAGTGCGACTGGGGATTGGCCGTTAGAGGTGGATTTATCCCGGCCTCGTGGAAGCGAGCTCCACTATTTAGCCATTTACGAGAGATCGCCGGTGACGGAGTAATATTGTAGAAAGGACTGTATAAAATAAAGTAGGTGGCGATAGGATATAGATTATTCGTATATTAATTTTGGTTCCTTTTCTTCCTCGCTCCGTGTCTTACCCGGCAATTCCCTTACCCAACAGCATAACGATCGATTTGGTTATTCTAGAATGGCTCGAGCGTCAGGATCGTCCCGGGCCTACGGATGATCAACCCCCTTGTCGGCACTTGTACGGACTATCCTCAACTAAGCCTGGCCTCGGTCTTTGGATTCCGCGGACATTGATTGGGTCTTGGTTCACATTGGATATTTGACCTTTCATATTCAGCTTATTGTCACAAAGTCATGTAAGTCATATTTGTGAGCAATGTCATATAGAAAATATACTTCAGAGATCTCCATTCTGAAAAACTTCACGGTCGGAAGCCTATCTTTCCTTTTTTCCTTTTTCCCTTTTTTTTTTTCTTTTTGTTATGAAACCGGCAAAAGTGTGACCCGCTCGAGTCCCATGGAAGGGATTTTACGCTTTGCATTTAGTTTTTTTCTAAATTCAAATGATGAACCAAGGGATATTTTCCCCCCTTCCATTCCACTCTACTATATTCTATAGTAAGCCACGTACTCGTTCTATTTTTTTTTTTTTCTGTCAATCAATAGTCTGATCAATTTAAACCGAGGAGCATCATTGATCGAACTATCCTATTTGGGTTATAGATCCGGGTAGTTAGCGGATTCAGCCGTGATCGCTGATCGTCTCTTGGTCCCGGGGCACTGGGCCCATGCCACGCGACTGTCTCACCCCTTTCGTCCCGGACACACAGACTTACCCAGGTTGAGTCAATGGTCGCAAATCAGTGGGGCTGAACTTGTCCACGCGAAGAACTTGGATCTTCGATGTGATATATTGTATATAATATACCTATACGCTCAATACGACATCCCCTACAGAGTCCTGGTTGCCTTGTGAAGAGGTTGACACATGGCACTTGCATGTCCATGCAACTGCTGTATCACATATCACATCATGTTGTGTTTCAAAACTCCAAACTATAATTAAAATTAAAATCCTCCAAGCGTCACTGAATTCAAAAGTTAATGTTCGCCTATTCCTTGGGAAGGTTGTAACCCGAGAAATTATACGTACTGCGTATTACCTAAATCCCCGTAGATCCCCGAAGTTACTGTAAATGCTAAACCGCCAAGATTGTTACACGCCGATCGGGATTGGTAGATCCGATCTTACACTTGTACTACTTGGGAAGGTACTTTTATTGGACGATGCGCCAATATGCAAGTGCGCATATAATATGCACCTTTTATATTTTTGTCTCCATTTCACGTGGCAGCAAGCCCTAATCTGGCATTGTATCCGATGCACCTGTCTGCGTCCGATCACTAGGATATCCGCATAGGATCTTCCCGCCGACGAAGACTGCAGTAGTGTACATATTACATTGCTCTTAATGCATTGAATTATTGAATATTGAATTCTGATTAATACGAACCGGTCGAATGAGTTTTATCTATACTCATTTTCCAGGACACAATTTCAAGATTCGTCGATGATAATTACCTTTCTACTATGTATAGAAAGTCTATTCCAATATCTAATCTTAATCTACTCCGTACTATATAATTATAACTATGTACTCCGTAACCTCCTTCCTATTCGAAATTGATCGGTGGATAACGAAGATCCAACTTCAGGGGATAACCCATGGCCATAGCTCCTGCTGACTCAGTGTATGATCGCCCGCCATCGCTAAGCGATGACCATTTATGGGTTGTCTCCGATGCAGCCCTCCACGTAATGTCGATATTGTGCATTGACTCGTATTTAGACCCCTGATGCGCATACAGCGTACTGCATACTATCTATATTGATCATATAGTGCGTAGATTTAGATTAGATACTTAATTTGATGTGTAGGTCAATCCACCCTGATGTTGTTTGGCCCCTATCGCTTTCCACATTAATATTCCTGTTGGATGGAGGATGATATGTTTGATTAAATAGCGTGTATGGAATATTCCTTCAGGATTCCATATCTCAGTGTTTGATCCTTTCCGGCCCCCAAAAAAGGAAAAAGAACATTCATTCTACACCGTAGATTATCAAAAGCGTATTCATCGTATAGCCCGTACCCGAACCCGAAGACTGAAAATCAGGGGGCGAAAGTAATAATAGAAATGTCAACGCCAAAAGCAAAAAATGAAGACCCTTAAATCACCTTATATAACCGACATGCCTAACGAGGGATGATCGACGGCGATCACCTACAACGGAGTGCAAAATTGGCCGTCTCGAAAGAGGCAGATCTGGCAAAAGGTGGCGGTCGCTTCCACAGAGTCGGGCCCGAGAGAAACACTTAATAATAAATAAGGGCTACGGTATAATCCTACCGAGCCGTACTAGTCCTATCTAGGGGCACGGAGTATAGCCGCCAAGGGGTATTAGGCGAGAGACGGTTGGAAACTCGGCACATCTTAAACTCCGTGAAACAACGACCTGTTCGTCAAGGGCGATCACAAAATTAAGTCGGGATCTTACCGGCCACACTCCGTACCATTTCCAGCCTTGGTATAAACCCCGTGTGCGATCGGCCGTGGGGCCCCCTGGCATCGGGGGCTGCTGTTCCAGCTCGACCTGTGAACTGACCATCTCGTAGGTTCCATATTTTTGTCTCGAAAATGGAGAACATGGAGCTCCATGCGCTTAATTGCTATTTTAGGGAGGTGATATTGGATCGCTCGTCATCGTAGATCCTGCTCCTTGTTTATCCCCCCCCTTTCATATCTATTCTCAGCACATTGGTAGATCTGGACCACTTTGACCCCCCAATGGGTCTATGTCTCTACTACAGTCGTATCTGCCTGCGATCTGCGCTCTGTTCACTCCACTAGAGCTATGAAACATCCGAGAAACATGCGCATGAAACCATATCCAAATCAAGCCATATACCCGGACATAGTCTACATAGTTAACCTTTGATAGTCCTTGATAGTTTCATTAACATGAACTTGCCTCGGTACTTATCCTATGTTCGATAGACGGAGTACTCCGTTCATCCATAGACTCTGGAGAAAGAATAAAGTTCAATCTTTTGATTACTTTCATTAAGGTCCTGCCTAATTGGGCATCATCTCCAACCTCTCCATTTCATCCTGTTTTAGATCCTTCAGACTTGCGACATTTATTCGGATTACCCTCCGAAAGGATTCATTGTCGCAGCCGTTATGGCTTCCCGATGACTCAACATTATGTGATATCTCGGGATCCACTCGCCTACACCTTTAACGCCTATGCAATGCAAGCCGGACATCCTCCGTATACACCGGGGGAGCGGGGAGGAGGGGCATGGGTCTGATCATATGAAATTTCCACATGTTAACGGATACATACGGGCATTGATCGCTTACGGGGATGCAATGCGACTGCAATAAGAAACACACCCTCTTTGCTCCGTACATGTGCAGGTAGAGTTTTGACGCAGTGATCATCCGGGGCTCCGTTACTAATCCG